GCAGGACACAGCGAATACTGCTTGAGGAGTACAGCTTGAGCTTGCCTAAATTCAGACGAAGCCCCTCATTAGCAAGAGCCACTGCAATCGCTGGGGGGCGAACCTGCAAGGGGTTGGCTGGTAGGCGTCTCTGAACAGCTTCCGATAGTGGAATTGCATGTACGAAGCCTCAGAGGACAGTTCAAGAGTGCATCAACTGAGATAAGCGAATGTTAAAAAACAACAGCCCGGGGCGGTCTCCACAACTTGTCTTTCTGTGTCACGGTACTACTCTAAGTCCCCGGCGAAGTCGGCAGGTTGGACCTCTTTACCAATGGCTGCCACCAGCTGCTTGCGGAGCAGGAGCTCGACATAATCGACCATCTCGCACCATTGCGTGAGGACATGTTGGCAGTGCTGTAAAATCGAGGCCCGGAAAGACTCCGCCCATGTGTAGATGCTGCCGTCGTCTGGGAAGACCTCCGTCAAATTTCCACGCAGCGCCCCAAGGGCCCGAGACTCCTCGCCGAGGAGACGATTGCCGTCCGCCGCTGTCACCACGGGCGAGGCTGGCGAGGGTGGCTCCTCGGGATTCTTGTGCAGAAGCACCATGGAGCTGCCTGTGCTCGGGCTTGGGTTGGAAGAGGTGCCCTTGATGAAAAGGGGGAGCGCCGGGATGATAATGTCGGAGGAGCTGGGAGGGGTGGCAGAGCGAGTGGGATGCAGCGTCCGAAGCCGCTCGAAGTATGAGCTGACCTTGTTGGCCCACACCAGGAAGCTCATGCAAAAAGCTTCGAAGCCATCCACCTCCGCGTTGCGCCGGGGGGTCCGGCACTTGGGCGAGACGCGATCAATCTTGAATGCAGGAGTTGGCGGGGAGCCCACCATCTGCTTGAGCAGAAAGGTGATGTTCACTTCTTCGCAGTCTGCAGCCTCAGATCTCTGCCGCATCCCAACATCGAGGTCAGAAACTCCAAGAGCCCCCCCCCCCCTTACCGAAGGAATAGACTCCTCAAGCCCTTACATCTCCATGTTAAGATCCCCAGACTTTAAACTACAGTAACTACACTTCCTTTAGAACCTTAATAAAATGCTACAGGTATTTTAAGTCAAGGGTTCGATGTAAAAAACTAACTCCTAAGGGGGCTATAGCAAAGATGGTTCAAGATGATCTAGTTCTATGACAGCGATGCGGCCTTGGCCTCCGGGTGAGGCGAGGACTTGGTGCTTGTTTTGAGCTCTACGTGCCCAGTGTGGCTGCAAAGTGTCCTGGGTTGCTGTTCAGGAGCTTGATGGCTATAACTACAAAGGATATGCCGGAAACAGTAGGGGAGGTATCGTGAGGAGGGCTTTTTGGTAACCGCAAAAAAACTCCTCAACCGCTGCCCAGCATCAGCCGATCCGAATCCTCTGCGCCCACGCCGCGGATAGCCTCGAGCTCGTAAGACACGGCAAACTTCCAGAAGAATTCAGTCCTGACTTGTCCATTTCGGCTCACAATGCGACGCAGCTAGGGGGAAGTGAAGCGCACCGAGGGCGAAGCACTTTTGTGACAGTCTTGCTGGTGAAGCCTTAAGATCAGGCTCAGCGCCGCGCAACAGACTCAACGCGCAAAGGGGCTTGCCATAGTTGAGTCTGGAAACCCAGTGCAACGCCACCCAACTGCACCTCGTTCACATGCTTCGTGGGCGATTCCTCATCACGAGTGACCTCCCGCAGAAACTGGCACGTCTCCTCCACCAGGCTCAAGTAAAACGAACAACCATGAGCCCCGAGGCACGCAACCTGGGTTTGTTAAATGGGAAAAACCACACGAGAAATGTGGAGGGACATACATGGACGCAAGCGCTGCGGGACATGGACGGCAGCTCGGCTAGAAGCCAAAACATGCAGGGGCATAGAGAGACATGACGACCAACAATGTAACAGCAATGCCGAAGTTTTTATAGGGTTCGAACAAATTCGATAAACCTAGAACACATCAAAGTACCGATGCAGCAATCCCTGCCAGCTCCAGGTCACTCATAAGTCAAGTTAAGGAAAAAGGGGCCGCCCCGAGATACAACAGCAATGGCTGCTGGCAGCGAGACCCCCGATGGCCAATCTTAAGGCAGCTGGGCTCCTCACCCGATGTCCAGCTTTATTTCTTGACAACTTTTGGACGGTTTCGGGTTTCTGGTTTAGGGTTTGTTTTTTCCCTCCTGCACAGCTGGGGCGAATCCGCATCGCGGGAACTCCATGTCCCCGTTTGTTCGCGCTCGGCCAGCTGTTCCAGCTGTTCATTCGTCCCTCCCCCAGCCATACCAAACAGCAAAAAGCGAAGCATCATCCGGAAAAAAGAGGTCCCCCCTAAGCGGCCCAGCAGCGCCCCTTGAATCGCCTGATTCAGATGACTAGGAAAGTGCCATATGTACACGTTGCCTGGCCCGATCCACGTGTTGGGATCGATGGGGCGACCCTAGTACAGCAGCCCTCACGAGGAGCCCAGCATCCGAAACCAAACAACACCGGTAGACCCAACACAAAACGTACGGTCAGGGCAACATAGCCAACTTTCAACGAGTCGCCCCTTGTGGTTTTCTCCGCGTGGCTATCGGCTCAGGGAGAAACAGCAGGTTAGGGTTTAGGGTTTAGGGTTTAGGGGATCCAAGCTCTTGGCTCCTTTGACTTGAAGCGCAAGGACACGGCGCTGTTCGCTGCCCAGGTCTGCAGCTGAGACAGCTTCTCCTCGCCTGGGGAAGATGCTCAAGGCCAACAAGACAAGCCCAGCACGTAAAGATTCCCCTGAAATCCTAAAACTCAAACACGAAGATATACCGAACTCCTACTGAGTTTGAAAGTCATCTCCTTAAAAAGAAGCCCCTTCTTGAGCCCTCTGTTTGAAAGCCCAGGGCGCCAACTCCCAGCGCCCCAAGGCCGTTGGCCAGTGAGGCCAGAGCCAGACAGCTGCCGCGCTCCAAGAGGCTGAACTTGTCCTGTGACGGCTTTGGCTGTTTCTTTGGGCTTAAAGGGTTAGGGGTTAGGGTTCGTTAGGGTTCGGTAGGGTTTTGTTTTTCTTCTCGCTCCCGCATAGCTGAACCGCAGGCAGGGTTTAAGTCTGGTGTTCTAGGAGGGGGAAAGTGGTTCCTGATCAGGTTTCGGGTGTGGGGCCACCTGCCTAGCAGCCTCGCTAGCCACACTGCAGGCATGCATGCAAGAGGATCTGAAGTCTGGTTGTTTGAGGTTGAGAGGGTTCGCACAGTGTCGGGGTTGGGCCAGACGCCGAACGGCAGGTGCCAAGAATTGTCCCGAGCTACCGCAGTAGAGTTGGTCTCCATCTGGGAAGCTTCGAGCTGTCAAGCGCTCTGCCAATGTGCTCTCTAAGGCTCGTTTGAGCACCGAACCCACCTTTCTCCCGCACCCAGATCCGGGCTGAACACAACTGGGCGTGCAACCTACTCCTGTTTTTGGTGCTCTGCCTCAGGTACCCATGAACGCCTCTTCTCAGGGAGCGGCCAGGCCGAGAGATGGTTCATCCCCAGGGTTTGGCAGCACCTTTGGCGCCCGACTACTGCGGTGTGCCGATGGACCAGCTCATCACCAGTCCTTTCTTCGCCTTCTGCTGCCGGCTTGGCGTAAGTGCATGTGGAAAGCTCTTCTTCTGCTAGCGACCTGACATGTCCTGCGTGTTGTGTAGGCCCCGCCCGAGTCAGACTCAGCACTTGTTCACTGACAGCCCGGGCTGCTGTTGTTTTTGCGGGCTGTGGACCAGACAGTGCCGCCCATCGGCGGCCCTTCTAATTTCTAATTCTACGCACCCCACTGATCAAGCTGAGTGCAGCCATCGCACAACTGTGGGGAGGCTCAGAAATGCGAACATTGCGAACCGTTGTTTCCGGGGTGATTGAGGTTGTGATTGAGGTTGTTTACGGTTGGACAGGTCCGTGCTTCGCACTGGATTCCGGCTTGGATGGTATCTGGGATACCGCCGAGTTGGGGGACTACATGCCCTGGCTCGCCCCCTGGACTCTACGTGCGTTGTGTGCTACCCGCCCCTGAGAACATGGCCACACTCGAACCCCACACATGCTCGGTGGACCAAAACCGAATTCACATTCCACACTCTTCTCAAAATGATGCATAATTTCGTGTATCCGGATGCGCTTGGCCGAAGATCCTGTCCAAGACCTGTTGGTGACATATCCTGGGTGCGAGCTCCTCTTTCCACATGCCGCATATTTCCTTAGCACTAACTGCCTGCTGTCCGATCGCTGGGTAAGCATCAGATGTCCTCATAGCTGTGGTGAACATCCGCCGGGAGCTGGGGCGTCTTCCTTTAAATTTACTCGTGAAGGGAGATGCGTGCAATATCTGCTGAAGCACAACGCACATGCAGAGGCTCTTGCAAGGACACTGGGGCCAATGCATGGAACCTGAACTCCGAAACCCAACCCCCGCTGAAGCCGATAGGCCCTAAACCCCACAACCGTTGCCCTGAGCCTCCGGATTTAAGCCAGGGATCTCCGCCTCTAAGACCAACTTCACCCGCTCGATCGCCTCCGTTCAGTGGTACGGGGTTTGGGGTTTAGGGGGGGTCTTGTGCATGGGGAGGCATCCTGAAATTTCAGGGCCACAGGCTAGAATTATTATTATTACTACTACTACTATTATTACTATTACTTATTTTTTTTTGGGGGGGGGGGGGGGGGGGGGGTTTTGGGGGCTCTTGGCTGTGGCTTCAAATGGGAAGGGCTTCGGGCTTCAGAATGCGGATCTGTGTGAGGCCGTTGCTTGACTTGGCCCTGACATGTCCGTGGGTCCGCCTTCTGCAGCTTGAGCTCGAACTGCTTCATCTGCTTCTCGGCACTCATGGCGAGAGCACTGAAGGGTGCCACTTCGTCACTGCGTTCTGCTACCTTGTTTGCCTTTAATTTGCTTGAGCCAAGCAGCAACAAATCCGCGTGCTCACGGAAAGACAACAACTGCGGCCATGGCCTACGAACCGTGTGCGGGACTGCATGTCCATTGTGTCCATGCCCAACCTTGGAGGTGCTTGCCATGACACCTGAGGGCAGAAAAAGCAGTCGTACAATCGCTTTGCTGCTGGCTTACTGCAAGAATTCTTCGGCAGCGGATGTAAGCTGCGTGCTGCAACACCTGGAGGTCAGACGACAGCCTGTCAGGCCAAGGAACGTCCTCCGAAGCAAAGAGACTTGTGATCTGAGCCCCTGGCACCAAGTAGGTATCACACAAGGCAGTCAGCACCTTAGCCGGTGGTTAGCAGTGCAGATGCACTGTGCCGAACGAAAGCTGCCAAGCAGGCAGCCAAGCTTTGCTTCGAATGTGAAGACTTCCCAGTTCTTTGATGCTGCGTCAAGGCTACCAAGCATTTCCAACCTACCCTATCGGTGCTCTTCTTGTGGGGGCCGCACTGCTGTCGAAGCTTCCACATGGGACTCTGCAACTCGTGCCTCAGATTTGATGCAGGGCTAGCGAAGATTATGTCAGAATCCGGAGCTGCCAAAGGCTCGCAAGCCTTCGACATCATGCTGGGCACGAGCAGGTTCAATAAGATACGTCCACCAGCAAGAATCTGTCCTACGTAGCGTGTGTTTAGCAAAGCGCTGGAAGACCATGGTGGCATTGAAGCCGCGCGACCGACTCTATCGTGTCTTTTCATGCCAGAGCCACACCATGCCACGTGGTGAAACGAAGGAACGAAGATGCAGGTTGGAGCATGGTGCACTCCTCATTCTTAGTTTCAGCTCAGCCAGACGAACTACCAGCAGCCTATCAACATCATACTACCCCCCCTGCAAGTCTGGAACGACAACGCGCACCCCCTTTTACCAGCCTTGGGGCAAAGGCCTCGTGGCAGAACCCTGCCTAGGCTCAGCCATCCACCGCCAACCCAAGCAGAGCTACAAATCTGCCAGATCAGCTTCCTCTGCGAGAAAGTCGGCACCGAAGCCAAGAAAACTATTTTGCAATATTGCAAGATCTGGAAAAAAGTTTCCACCATCCGCCTCCCACACCCAGTTCAGGCCCAGCTGAGGCTAGATGGCCAGTTGTGCTCTATATTTCCAGATCTCACACTTAAACAATCCTAAGCCACAGCAGTTCGTCAATTCGAAACGTCAGAGGCCTGACAAGGCCCGAGAGTCCGACCACAGCCCCTCCGAGAGGTCCCAGTTCGTCCACTTCCTTACATCAGGAGCGCAAGATCAAGCATGTGCAGCGCCCGTCTAGGTGCTTTCACCATAAGCACCATTCTTGCATGGGACGCAATCTGCTTTGAGGCACTTGGTGGGAAGATGATAGGTCCACCTACAAACATGCGGGGACAATGCAGGCAGGGTGTTTCTTGCCGGGGATCACTTCCTGCGGTTTCGGGAAAGCTCTCCCGAGTCGTGTTGTAGTTGGCACAGCCAGTGAGCCATCGCCTTCCACGGCCCAGATGATGATGGACAGTCGCACGCCGTCCTTCTCGTCATCCGAGGGCGGGATGGAATGAGTGAAAAGATCGTTGAAGAACGTGTCGAAAGCAAAGACGTCACCTGGCCACAGAAGGCGAGAAATGCCTCTCTCATGGCCCCCAATCCATTCAAGCGACCGTTCTGCTGCTTGATCCGGAAAGTCTCACCAGTGAACCTGCAAGCATGTGCCAAGGAGAGGTGCCCAGGACACAGTCTGCTTTTCGAAGTGAAGCATGCCCAATTTCTCGCAGGCAAGAAACAAGTGTCTGTGTGCATGGTGCATGGTGTGCTCACAGCGCGACATGAGCAAACACAAGCTGCTGAAGGCTCCCAGCCTGTCTTTGAAGCTGATCCTTGCACGACGCAGCGCAGCAGCAACAACAAGACTCATCTGCTACAAGAAGAAGCAACCTTCCCCATCCAACTGCAAGAAAAACGGGAAGCCGTTCTCTCCACACATGCTCTCACCCCCCAACTCTGCCCAACCAACTCTGCCCAAGCGTCGGCCGCGTTGCTCCGAGACTGAGGCCGATGGTGGCACTGGGGCGAGGCCTTCGGTCCTGGAGCGTGCTGAGCAATGCGCACCCAGGAGCTGTAAGGATACCGAGGCTCGGAAAGCTGAAAGCAGAGCTGCACTTGTGCACTGCACGAACGTGCCTGACATTGCCTGACCCTCCGCTGATCCCCTGTCACCCTAAACCCCAAACCCCCTGGTTCCTTGTAGTTGTCTTGATGCGCCGACTTCTCTTCGGCGCCATTCCTTATTGGAGCTGCACCATCCTTTGAGTACCCTTGACTTGCGCCGATTTGGGGGTTTATGACATTAGGGGTTCCTTATTGGGGTCCTTATTATAAGGGGATCCGACTGTTTGGGGTTTCTATTTTACGGAATATTAAGGATCCCCTAGATTCGTGAACCCCCCGTTTACGCAGGATGGATCCAAGAAGCCGGTATACGTTGACCCAGCAGTCCACCATGGACAGGCCAAACAAGGAGACCAGCCGCGCGACCACCGCCGTAAATGTCTTGGAGAAAGCAAGGTGCTCGCCCCAAATCCTTGTCAGAGCCGAAAATAGTGCTGCTGTCTTCCAGACATCGGAAGGAAGGAAGGAAGGAGGGAAGGAAGGAAGGAAGGACTTTGGGCAACAATTGTGCTGCTGTCTGCGTCCACGTCGCTGCATGTGCCGCTTGCTTCGATGCAGCTTCAAGCGGCTGCCGGCCTTCCTGAAAGGCAGAGGGGTGGCTGCAAACCAAGGGAGTTTGGCATGAACACGCCCCATTGCGGCTCAGATACGCAATGTCTTCCAGCAATGCTTTCACTAGGTTGGCATCATCGTTGGACGAGCCCAGTGCTGGCACATGTACACAGTGCCCAGAACGAACCAGCCGTGATGGCAAGGGCTTCATCTTCCTGGCATAATTATCTGTTCGGTTGGCAGCGGAGTTGCAAACCCAGACAGCTCGTTCATCTAGTCCAGATGGCATTGATCAGAAGACTGCTCGTTACACCCAAAAGACTGACATGGCACCATAAGCCAAGTTTCGGAAAGGCTGGCATCTTGAGTGCTGCTTGCAGCGGTGATCTTTCCACAGCCGTCTCGAGCAGTGAAGACCGGACTGGCCGCACTCTTCGTGTCACCGGCGCGCCCCGCTCAACAACGTCTCTGCGGATGCCTGGAAGGGAGAAAGTTGTTGTGGAATGCGTGAGTGAGTGATCGTGACGTTCATGGGTCTTGTACAGTATAGGTGTACGCTTGGGCGTCGTGCGCTGGCGGGAACGTGCTATGGCCTGGTAGGGAGCGGCTCGGGTGGCGCCTGTGTATGCCCGTGTGCAAATGCACGTGCTTGTGCTTCCCCCTTAAACCCTAATCTAACATCCCCAAGCCCTTTTAGCCCTCAGTTCTTGCGGCGGGTGCATAGGCGGAAAAGGACCGCCACGAGACATGTCAACCGGGCGTTGCGCCTCCTTGGGCCGGTCCAGGGCTCCTCTGCTCAGAGGATGTCTCGCGTCTTACGATGTGGGGGGGGTGGGGGGAGGATGGCGGATCAGGGTCCCTATTTGGGGGGTTCAAGCTGCAGGTCAGTGGGAAACACGGCTGCAGAGGGGGCCCCTCCCCCCCTTCTGCATCTTCTGCGAGTGCCCTCTTCCGATCGAGGTTCGTCGACTTTGGTGAGGCACCGAAGCATCGTGCGCGTAGCACGAAAGCGCACCTCACGCCTGCAGGGTGCGGCTTGCAATCAGCATCTGTGAAGACCCCCCATCCCTTCAGGCCTGGTTGAAGCATGGGCCACATGCTAAGTGACAGCAGCACGCCCACTGTCACCCAGGCTCTCTGTACCACCCCTCGCATGGCGGAGGCCGGCCAGGACACAGATTCTCAACAGGCGGGATGCTGTGGGGTCGGTGGAGTCTGTGGCGTTTGCGGGGATATTTCGGCCTGCTTGGCTTGATGGACCGACAACGCAATGCTGGCTGCAAAACATGGGCTCGAACTTGGACATAGCTGCGGGACCTAGCGTTATCTATCAGCTTTGTGCTCCCCACGTGTGCAAGCGCGCAGGCTTTGTGTCAATTTGTGTGTTCTTTGAGGGCCATGCCCCGCGCAAACTTGCCAAGCTCGTTGCCTCAGGTGCTATTCCAGGTGAGGAGGCAAGGCTCTAGATAGGTCATGTGAACATTTTGCGCAGGCTGAGAGAGCCTCCTGAGGCTCGAGCAAGAAAACTCCAAGCCTCAGTCGGCAGGATGAGGTTTCACGCGGGAGCACGGACCACAACATGGGAAAGAGTACAGTCGTCTCTTCTGCCCAGTGGCGAGTCTCCCGCAGAAGGCAACTAACAGCGCACCAGCCCACCTGCATGGACGGGCGACCACTGAAAAGTGCGCTGAGGCTCCGCCAAGGACTCCCAAGGCAAAGTGCGCATCAGCGGCAGCTTCGGCCCCCCTTTGCTGTAGGGCCATGGCTCTTCAACAGCCGAGAGGACGAAGCCGTCCACGGGTGACCTAGCAGGAATTTCGGCATCCTTGCATGCGCTTGCTTTGCATCTTGCTGCGCCCGCCTGTAGAACCACCACAAGGCTGCACTTGCAAAGCCATACCTTGCTTGCGTGGTGCATCGGTGTGCGTGCACCGGCGAATCATACACCACTCCAACCGCGCGCTGAGCTCAAGGCCCCGTAGCTGCGGCTCCTCATGCCAATGCGGAAAGATGCGGCAAGTCCAGCGAAAGCTACAGACTCTGCGCCGTGTGCGCCCTTTTAATGATTCTGTAAAGTGGACTGCCTGAACAGGTTTCTGTCTTGACTATGACTCTTGGGCGAGCACCGAATCCCAGAACGCCCAGAACCGGAGCCAGCGGCACGCGTGAGCCTCCTGTCGGAGATGCATGGCATTTGGAGGCTTGTTGCCAGTAAGTATCGAGCTTCGACGGCATGAGGCGTCGAAGCCTCTCTCTATAACTTCTTGTGGATGCAAGCGGCATCTCACCGACTACTGGCCCACCGGTACTGAGCTGCTGTCCCAGGTGTTCAACGCCCAGGCATAGCAAGCACAGACACACCTGAGAGAAGCAGAACGACAGGGCTTCTCCGCACAAAATGGCAAATGGAAAGGCCCAGGCCAGTGAGAGCTTGCTCTGCTGTATCTCTGGCACCCCAGCTGTCTGCAAAGAGGCCTCGGCGACAGCTGCTAGCAGAACCCCCCAAATCAACTCCAAAAACCTGTAACAACGCGCAGGCATAGATCCTGAGCTGTTGACCACCAGCACAACATACAAGGCTCCCTGCAAAGCGGAGCTGGTGGAATCTCCATGACCTACCAAGCTCCCTGCTCTTGAAATCTGTTGCCTGGCAAGTCCAAGCTGTGCTGGCGCCCGAGAATGCGGCTCCTCATGGAACAGCAACATCTGACCATGGTTCTGGGTGTAGTACTGCGGGAGTATATCGCGAAGCCTCCGCCTGCTTCCAGCAGCCAAGGCCATGGTAGCCTTGGGCATCAACACAAATGACAAGTGTGCTTTCATCGAGGTCAGGGGCAGTCCATCTGCCAGCAACGGTCCTCTTTCAGGGCAGTCTCAGGCAGCCTCTTGTTTTCTGCGCTTGGCAGGCCTTGGTTCTCCTTGTAGAGACTGGGATGCTGCAAAGCATGTACCGGCGGCTCCACAAGCCTGATCTAAACAATACGCCAGGATGTGGAACCGGCCCTGAAGCTGAAGATGCTCGCAACAAGGAGAACTGGATGGATGAGGGCCAGTTGTCTAAAAGTCTATACTGAACTTGGAACCCTCGCAAAAATTGTCATTTTTGGCTGTTTCGTAGGAATTATAGTACCCAAAAAACTATAAATATTCCCAAATGTCCCTAAGAAGTTCGAGCTTCAGGAATGCACCACACCCAGGAAGCGACACAGCTGCACGCTGCAGCTGCAGGGGCTGTTCTAAACCTGCCTATAAAAGGCCGGATGGAGTACGTAGGCCGAGTGGTCCTCACCTGGCATGCAACAAAAAACCCTCAGCAAGCACTTCACCCCGGGAACGAGGTTCTGCTACAGGCATGTCCGTGCGGTTCGCTACCAAGCTTGAGTGAGGCACGTGAAGATAAACGGGCATGTCAATGAAGACACAGTTTCAACGGGCCAGGCTGCTTGGTGGAATCGGGCATTGCATCCGCCTGGAAATCGTGGAACGCCAGAGAGCATGGGCACGAGCAGCGAGACACGGACTGCATCTTCCCAGCTGACCGTACTTCTACCATGGAGGTGTCAGATGGGGAACGCTAGGAACGCATTGCCCTTGCAAAACGCTCAACCCATCTCAGCCTTGGCAAGCGAGCCCCATGCCTTCGGCACCACCTGATCTTTTGGAATACCTGGCATGGTGCCAGCTATCTCAGCTGGGTGGCCTCAATCCTTTCCATGCTTTTGAGTCCCTGCTGTGCATGCCCAGCGACGCATGACAATCGCAGGCTTTGGCTTCTTGACGCCGCGAATCTGGACCTCGAAGCCCAGAGACCTCAGACGAACAGAGCGACCAGTGCTGGAGGACCATTGCGTGGTGGCAGACGTCGCTCAAGTTAAAGGCCCACGGACTGAACATAAAGAATGCCGCGCTCTCTTGAAGGGTGACATAGCACGACAATGAAGCGGCATGACATGGCCTGCGAACCCCGCAAAACAGTATAGAGCAACACGGGGAGCTTGTGCTTTGTTTGTTCGCACGGAGGGGTTGCGTAGCCCCAGAAAAAAGCTATCGGATTTGGAAAGCAGCAATGTTCGAAGATGTCTTTCGATCCTTGTGCCATATGTTGGCAGTTCTGCTTGATTAGTATGCTCCAGGCTGGCATGGCTTGACTCGTCTACAGCTTGACAAATTGAAATCATGTTTGTGGAAAGGGCAGCCAGGACCTGCTTCCCCGAACGGCCTAAAACCCTTGTTGCTTGTTGTGTTAACCCTGAGCCCAGAACTTTCAATTTGAGGCAAGGGATTCTCACGGAGGAGGTTTCGATGCCGCTCTTGCTCGAGGGAAAGCTTTGCACTGCTCCGAAGTGCGTGACATCTACTTTCGTACCTGCTACAAACTCTGTACCCGTCTTCACCCGGACACATCCATGCCATTCATAAGGGCTTCTGCCATCTCTCCAAATCTTCAGGAACAACCGTGTTGGACATTGTGTGAATTTGTTGATGTGCTCTTTGCAAACCGTGAAAAGAAGCATTTTCAACCACTCTGCTTCCCAAACGTGTCCTTGTCCTCTTGCACTTCCAAAGACCCCTCCCCATCCCTCCCCCCTGCCCCCCTCCCAAACAAAAGCTGCGGGCTGCGCAATCCCAAAGAACTCTCCTATGGCCCTTGGGTTTCCTGGAACAAGATGAGTCTTCTTCTTGCGGCGAAATACTATTATTTGCGATGTTTTGCACAGCGCTCTTCCGTGCGACCTCCCATGCCTTTTCTGCAGTCGAAGGGCGGGTTGTCCACCAGCAGTGGCGCGCATTGGCTTCCTTCTCCTTCTGCCTGGACCGCGAGCTGTCCGAGAGAACTCGCAGTCTGACCCCCTCCACATTGAGTACTTTCCTTCAGCCATATTGTTCGCGCAGTGGGCACCTAGACTCGTGGCAAACTCTGCTGAACATGGAGGGTGAACCTGCAAGAACAACCGCATACCACCCCGCATTCTGACGTAATCCCCTTCCCCCCCCCCTCTCCCCCCTAAAATTAAATAACCCCAGTATGTTTATATTGTAGTATATGGGGGGGGGGGGGGTATTCAATATTACAGGGTAGGGGGGGGGGGGGGTTTGATTATTCGGGGGGAAGGGATTAATTAGTTGTGTGCCGTGCGATCGCCTGCCTTTTCCGCGGTCTTCTCTTGGTTGGCGTCAGCGATCTCCTGGCTCATCTCGCCCATAAGCATGTAGAGCCCCACCTTGACTGCAGGCCCCGTCATTACAGGGTTATTAACGGGTTCTTATAGGGTTACTAGGGTGATTATCGGGTTATTAAAGGGTTCTTATAGGGTTTTTTGGGTTCTTATAGGGTTATTAGGGTTCTTATAGGTTTACAGGGCCATGCGCGACCCACGACATTCGTTTAGCTTAAGAGCTTGAGGTGCCATCCCTCGAAACCATGCAACCTTTTTGACTTCTCAATCAGGGAAAGGTAGGTCAATGAGGTTAGGAAGGGGGGCCGGTATCCCATGGTAGCGTATCGGTTGATGATCTAAACATCTAAACAGCTGCTAGCAGTGAGCGTCTTGAGTTTAAAGGCGCGAAGTCGAAGATCGAGGATGGAAGAATCTGAGAAAACTCTTGGGCTAAGCCTTCGATTTCCAGCTTGAGTGTCTTGAGTTTCACGGCGTGGGCGCACTTCAAAGCGTGGCCGAAGAGTTTTCCGACAGTCTTCGATCTTTGGTGCTCCAGACGTTCAAGATGCCAGCAGACGGTTTGGATGCTTTGTTGGGGGGGGGGGGTAAGATCATATATACTATATATAGTATATATAATATATAATATCGTATAATATAATATAGAATATACAATATATGATACAATATGACCTAATACAATAGAATAGAATAGAATAGAATATGAGAATATAATAATAATCGTAGTATATATATATATCTATCGAGTACGCTCTGCTTGATGCACGCGGACTCAATGTTCGAGGAGAAGCCAAGAGCTCTTGCTTCGAAGCTCACACTCGCACACGGCAGGCAAAAGTACTTCCACCCTCAGTCCGAAGAGGTTTAGGGTTTAGGGTTTAGGGTGAGACACAGCGGGTTTGGGATGGTCATGGGGTACGAGTAGGGTTGTAAGGTTCGACTCAGATGTAGGATGATACGTGAGCATATGGGAGTCATTCAGCAGCAAGATGACTGCAAGCACTTGGGCGCTTAGGGATGCTTGTGCCCGGTATCCTGGTATTCGAAAGCTTCGGAGCAGGAGCTAACATTTTCGGGCGTCCAGGCTTTTCGGCCAGAGGCCTTGGGCCAAGCTTGTTCACTGCATACACGCGAAGCGCAAAAAGCCTTTCAGGTTTCCAGAACATGAAGGACGGCAGTGCATCCGACAAGCAGTGGAGTCTGGAAATCAAGACAACTCGAAGAACAAGACTGCGCGGAACGGGCTGCGTCCCTGATATATGTAGAACTTCGATCGAAGCATGCCGAACCAAGCTCCGAGTGGGAGGCTGGGTCGGGCAAAAGTATCAAGTAAGAGTCTTTTTCGAGACATCTCTGTCTCGACATTCGGGTTGCTGGACATGAGGCATGCGGGCAACTAACGGTGTCAGGCTCCACGGCATGTGCACAGGTACATCTGCAACATTTGGGGGGGTTTCCGAAATTAGGGGTACCTGACTTGGGGTCCTTATTATAAGGGAATCGTATTATTTGGGGGTCTTTAAAAAGGGTCCTCATTTTCGTAAATCCCCCATTTCTTTGAAGCTGCATTTGATGCTCGGGTTGGTCCGGCGAGTTTGGGGGGGGGGGGGGGGGGGGGGGCACCTTTGGAGCATTCTTTCGCAGTATGCTGAGCCAAGGGCGGTTTTGTCTTTCTCCTGCATGCCGTGTCGTGTCAGCGATGAGGGGCCAAGGAAGGGCTATGCTTACTTTCACAGGTTGAGTGCAACTTCGAGCATTCCGCACAAGGCGCTCAGCATCCAAGAGCTGCAACATATGCCTCATGATAAGGCGGCCTGAAACGGAAATGATTGGAAACACAAGCCTAATTAGAGTTTTCCGATTGCCCCTGTGTTCGGTTACCTCTTTTTTTAACAGCCACGTGATCGCTAATCACGGCTAACCGGCGTGCGGGGTTACTGGGCCACTTTCTTAAAACGCCGAAGCTTCCAGGGTTCAGGGCTTCAGTGCAGCACATGCAGGTTGATGCTAGTTTAGATCAGGGCGTGCCTGCAATGCCTCTTCCAAAGACTGACTGGCAAGGAAGGCCCCACGTGGATCTGCGAGGACCTTGGCGATGGCAGTTTCTGGAATCCCCAAACCCTAAACCCTAAACCCTAAGCCCTAAACCCTGAACCCTGAAGCCTAAACCCTAGTGCCATAAGCACTTGAAGAGTGCAAAATGAGGTGGAACCGGAGGAAGGTTCCAGGAACAGAGGGCTCTTGAAGAGTGCCGGCAAAGAAATACATTGAGAATCTACTTCTTGGGATGTTCCCCCATATACTAGGGTTTAGGGTTTGTAACAGTCCTCTATAGGGATTATAACAGGAGCTGCTGCATCCCCATTAAGGCCTCTTAGTATAAAGGGACCCCCTGTTACAATCCCGCTTGAGGCCTCTTACTCTAAGGGGGAACATCCCAACCTACTTAGGAGCGACGAGCTCTGGCAACGAGGGGCCTTCTCGGTAATGTCCATACCAATGTGGTCCTGGCTCAGAACTTGTCGTGCTCTCCACCATGCAATATACACTAACCGTCCTAATACTAATCGTAATAAAAAACACTAATTGTAACAATAATAGTAAATGTAACAATCATAATAATCATGATAAAAATAAAAATAATAATAATAATACACGCCTTCGCGGCAGTCCTCTCCGGCTGGAACTGCAGCCTCGTTCGGGACCACATCCGGGCCGATCTTCTGGACCTTGCTTGGAGGTTCTCCTAAGATATTATCACTATTATCATTACTATCCTTATTATCCTTATTATCATTATTGTTACTATTGCTATTATTGTTTGAGGTTTTGTTGTTTGACCTCTAAAAGGCACTCTATATCCACAGAACCTTTGCAAAAAGACCAGCAAGAGCGGAGCAGCATCCTTACCTTGTACATCGCCATCGCTTTTTGCTTATTTACCAAGCGAGATGCAGGCGCCACAGCTCGCGTCTGGCGGTGGATGGCACTGCTCGGACCAGGCCCTTTTTTTGACCGCAGCCTCTTGAAACCAAATGCCAAGCTCATGCAGGGCAGTTTGGTTCTTGAGTGATTATGAATTAAATTATGCAAATTATCGTAACCTGAATTTGCCAACCCTTTGTTTGGCCCTGTGGCGGCTGCCTTGCCACCACCAGTTCCTACTTGTGCAAGAAACAGCGCTGCTCGATACCGCTTTGTTCCTGGTGACAATGTGCGCTTCATGTCGTTTTGAGAACTGACCTGTGCATCTACATTAAGGCTCTTACTTGGCTGAGTCAGGAATCGGGTCCATGCGAGGTAGCAGCTGCCAACTCGATGGCAATGGCTGCTTTTGTGGCACCCGTAGGACCTCAGTGCTAGATCTTAAGGTGCGAGATCATGCGCGTGCTCGCAAACCTGCGAAACTGCCCGAGCCCAGAAAGAAACACAACACTACTCAGCATGGGTGGAGCTTCGATGCACGGTGGAGTGCGGTTCACACCTCGAATCTGGATCTCATATGCCTTAGGTAAATCCATCTGGATCAATGGCTCGTCCTCTTCCGACTCTACCTCGGACCACGCCCCCTCCTCATCACTCTCAAAGTGCTCCATGCTCTTCTTCTGGGTGTCGATGGCGTCCTGGATCTGATTCCCGACATCCTCAAAGACTTTATAGAGGCCCACCGCCATGCCCTGACCCTGACGAAGGCTCTCGGTGAAGGAGATGCTGGCAAGGAAGGCAGCCCTGGGGTCGGACAGGACCCCGGCGCTGATGTCGATGGCTGTGTCGCCTGGTGCCTCTGCCGGCATCTGATTTGGGGACACCCCTAACTGCTCCACATCGGACTCGTAATCCTCCATCGACAGCAGGACCCGGGGCTCGTTCATGCTCATCTTGTAGGCACCGGAGGGGATGAACAGTGTGTCGGCCGAGGGCAGGGCCGACAGAATCCGTGAAAGATCCATGTGCCAAAAGAACACATCCTCATCAGCGAGCCGGCGCACAGTCATGTGACACAAGGCTGCGACAACTGTTGAGGCACATATGCTCGCGCCTCGTCGGAGAGCTCGTGGAAATCCATGGCCCGGAAATTCTCGTAGTTGTCTGGCTTGAGCAGGAGCAGCTTCCTGCACATCGCAAGTCCATCAGCATCTGCCTAAAGCCCGCAATCTTCGGACACTTCTACGCCAGAAGAGGTCAGCAACAAGGCCAAGTTGCAAGGGCGGGTACTTGCAACCAGTTGCGACAAGACTGGCAGGGAGGTAGGTCGCTGCTTGCACGATGACCTCGGAGTAGTCGGGGACCCCGGCCTGCAGCTCCCAGATGCTCCCAATCTCTCGTTGCCGCGGGTTTAGGGCATCTAGTGAAGCTAACTTGCGTCTTCTTTTTTGCAATTCTTATACCCCCCGGTGTGCTACAGAAAGGAAGTCCCTTTCTCCTGACCTCTCTTGGCCGGTGCCCCAATTCCCGGTTCCCTCTGGCCGGCCTGCACCGCATGCGTGAAGTTGAGCTCGCTGTTGGTGGCCTCCCGCAGGCCCAACATCACGGGGCCGTGTGCTGTCACTCGTTTCTTGATCTCGGACTTCCAATCTATAGAGTCCCAGCGGAACCTGGATTTCTTCTGTGTGCCATACTGTGCCCAAAGCCGAACAACTAAAACAGGACTTCGCACAGCAAAGCGGCATCAGGAGAAGGGTCCAGAGAGCATGCACGAAGAAAATCCGGAATGCTTCCAAGGCAAAAAGTGAGAGGAAAGCGATGTCTACCCAGCTGTACGGCCCAACGCCGGGTTGTAACCATACACTGAGGGCATTGAAATACATCTGTGTGGCCCCAAACTCGCCGACCGTAAACTCAGCACGCCATTTCAAGGCAGATAAGGTGTTGGGATTTCGCGTCTTGCTCTTGCCCAAGAAAGGTGCAGCAAACAGCAAGAGTACTGCACACACAGCTCGCATCGCCGCAAGCACAATGCGTGAATTTTGAAGGCAGGCGTCACCTTCCCATGACTGCTGAATGCCATCGCTGTCGAGTAGCTCCATCACAGCGATGGGCAGCTCTATAAGCACCGCAGGACCCAAGAAGCTAATGAAGCCGAGCATGTGGAGAGTCACCCAATTCATCTGATAAAGAAGTTCGATGTTGGAGACTGCTTTGCCTTCGCGGATGGCAACATTTCCTCCAGACGCCCCACTAACAACGGGTGTCTGCAGAACCATCAGCAGGCCGAAGGGCGTAAGCAGGCCACGGGCCGCATGCCAGATGTAGCCCCACATATCCGAGCCCCCACATCTCATCATGATCCCCCCGATGGCCATGATCACCGTGCTGGGCAGCACCAAGGCTTTCACCATCTGGCCCTCGGAAGTGGACTCATCCCCGAAGGTCTCGGAGATCGTTTCTGGATGCGTCTTCATGAGCATCGAATAGTCCGCCTTGCCTGTCTTCCGGTATTTCTCCCTGAAGCCCTTGTAATACTTGAAACGGTTCGCAGGAGAAGAAAACCAAACGTCGATCGAGGTCACAAACGCTGCATGGCACATTCGAGCAGCAAAGAATACCACAACCGCCCCCACGCACTGGACCATCAGCTGGGAATCCGGCATGATCGACCGCAGGGCGGCTAGCTATCACACCCAACCCCTTCGCCTACACTGATCCAACTGACGTCGGTTGAAGCGTCAACCTGCCAATAACCAGAAACCTGCAACCATCTCCAAACATGAGCTTTAGGGGCTCTCGTAGACTCTAGGATCCGCTGGGTACCAAGCATCCGCCTTGTACTTGGACAAGGACAGCAGTGCCTGAGTGGACAGGCGTGGAAGGTCTTTGCATGAAACCCGCATGGAGGAGGTTTTCAAACAAGCAAACAGCCGAGAACCACAAGCTACAGAGGCTCAGCGCGGCACCTTCGGGTGCATCATTTCCTGGCGCGTTTCAAACCAGAAATGGCACCGCGGCGAAGCGAGTGTGAAGCGCTCATATGATATATGTGTGATCTGCATGTGCCCGCAGTTCCGCTCGGTGGGCATTGTCCTCTATAAATCTCTATAGTCTGCGCCAGCAGCACGATTCAAACTTTGCGGGAGGTGGGGGGGGGAGGGGCGCGAACTTAGAACCCTAAGCCCTGAACCCTGAACCCTACGCCCGCGAGCCTCGCTCCTGAAATGTTAGCCGCTCTTAGCCACTAGGAACTCCATGCACTTTGTATGGCTTCCAGCGGGTGCTCAGCGCCCTGCCATCTTGTACAATCCATACGGGAAGAAGATGGTGTCGGTGGATTCGAAGGCTTTGCTCACCCGGCACCTGCAAGCTGTAGGAGATTGACCACCACAAAGCCCCACTCCCAGGGGCCCTCTCAAGCCGCCCCTATACTAGTCGCCAATGGAAGGCGGATTACATGATGGTGGCTGAGACTTGTGATGATGTGAGTTACGCCAATTGGGTATTTCCCCAAATAGGGGTACCCTGAATATACCCCCCAAAATAGTTTTATCCTTATTTAGGGAACCCCGAAAAGGGTACCCCCCCCCGCCGCCCTACTTTCGGAAACCCCCCAAGTGAATGCCAGGCCACAGATCCTTGTTCCATTCGTTCAGGTCGTCTGCGCTGAGTTCGTGGAATTCCATGGCCTCGAGCTGTGCACAGGTTTAGGGTACGGCAGGGCCTCATTTTCATGCTAGGCAAACACACCACCAGATGGGCTTGCTGGTAGCGATATGGGTTCCTAACAAGATGCACAGCTCAGAAGCTCAAGTGTTGACGTGCAGCCCAGTTGCCCTAAAGTTCTCATAGTTGTCAGGCTTCACAACTAGCAGCCTCGAATCACCCAATCAAGACGGGGTAAAGGCAAAACTGGGCAAAGTTGAGGCACAGCTCGCAAAGCTGGCCATCTGCAAGGCGCCTGAACTTGTCGTACTTGCAGCCTGTCGCAACCATACTCGCTGGCAGGTACTTGGACGCCTGTGGCATGGGCTGGCATGGGCTGAGGGCATGATGCGCAAATGGTGCAGAGCAGCTGTGATGTTTGCCATGTGCATGGGATGGGCTGAGGGCTCCCCGAGAGAGCTGCATTGCACACAGTATGAAGCCTTGATGATCCATTCTGAGAAATCCGGCACGCCAGCCTGCCGAGCGTGGCTGGGCTCAACTCTCTGCAAAAACTGCGAGTGAACCGGGCTTACTGCATGTGCACATGTCGCAACAAACCTCATGCTGCGCAAACAGTATCTTCAAGGCGGTGGTTGGTGTAGAACGCTCTCCGAGGTACGGTTGGATTTGAGGGAGAGGTAGGAACACGAGAGTGGCGGGGTATCCACCGCAGATAGTGCAAATTCGGCAGTGCTTGGCACGGAAACCTGCACGGCATGCATGTGGGTTAGCTCGTCGCCAGTGAGTGTCCGCAGGCCCTGCATGACGGGACCTCATGTCAATGCTAGCTGCCCAGAAAAGGGATGCGCGCACTCAGTAACCAGGCAGCCGGCCCTGTGCAGGGACCCTCCTCTTCCTTGGCCATGAAATATCTGCTAACTTCTACCTGCTTGCATGCAGCAGTGGCCACTTGCGTCTCAAGATCAGATAGTGCTGAGATTGCTGACATCTCTGCTGACCAGTCGATAGAGTCCCACCGTTTCATGACCACCTTGGCCGCCATAACAAAAAGAAAAGCGGTGGAAGGTGCCTGATTGATGCGAAGGGTACGAAAGTCAGCACTTTTGGGGGACTCGAGGCAGCGGCCAACCAAAACACACCATGCCTGGGCTGAGTGCATAAAGAGGGCTTCGAGGAGAGGAGAGCCGCAGAGCCACGGCTTCCTGTAAGGAGCTCCTCCCCCCAAACCTAAACCCATTTTTGAAACCGGACTTGATGACTGCCGGCGCTGCCTCCTCCGCTGTTCTTCAGTTCTTCAGCTGAGGCCCGAAAATGTCTGCACACAACACTCCACTCCCTGGGATAGGCACTACTACCGAATGCTGAAGCCAACACAGCCCTGATGACACTTGGCGGCTAAACCTAAACCCTAAACCCTTACGGCTAGGACAGTTGCACTGCCTGCCTGGGACGAAACCCTAAACCCTAAACCCTAAACCCTTAAGCCTCTTAAGCCAGGCCAAGCTGCACGAAGAAGATGCGGAAGGCTTCGAGACTCAGAAGGCCAAGGAGGGTGAGATCCAGCCAGCTGTAGGGGCCCACTCCTGGAAAACACAAACGCAACACGAAGATGCCTACCTTTCAGCTCAGTGACGGTGTTCAGAGATGGGCAACTTGCGTCTCGTGACCGGAGTTGGGGTCGGAATTGCTTGTTGTGGGGACCACACAAGCTTGAATGGTAGGAACTAATCGCCAGCGTCGATGTTCCAAGCCTGGTTGGAAGAAAACGCTCAAGGCATTGAAGTACCTGGCGCTGCAGCAGATAGCAGAGGCAAAGTTGCCAACCAAGCAGCTGCCCACTGCATCCCGCTGCAGTGCAACTTATCAACGATCAAGGGGCATTTGTGTGGCGCCGAACTCGCCGACCGTGAACCTGCAGAGCCCACAAACAACAGCCAGGCATGACATTCCTCACACACATGGGTCAGCCAGACGGACATAATATGGCTGTGGCCATCCCACATACGCCCGAGCTACGCTTTCAGGCGCTGTGCCCAAGCACAGCGAGGCCTTTCCCAGCTAAGCTGCAGGCTCTGCACGCCACTTGAGGGCTCCAAGGGTATTCGGATTCCTCACTGTTCAGATCTGCACTGGCATCTGTACTTGCGTGTACTTGCAACGAAGGACCGCAGCCTGTTCCCACAAGTGTAGTGGGGCGACATTGAGGTGTACATTCATAAAAAACTCACCAAAGCCAGAGCCAAACCACCACTCCACGAACACATCGGAGGCCCGGACTTCGTCTCGGCGGTCGCCAGGAAGGGCGCCGCGAAGACCAGCAGAACGGCGCACAACACGCGCATCACCGCGAGAACCATGCGATAGTGCTGACAGGGCAGACTTCTTAGACAGGCTGCGACAACCACCTCATATCCCTTTAGGAAGAGTCAGGGGAGGAGTCAGAGTATGCCGCATCATGCTGACCTCTCTGCCATTGTTACCCTAGATCCCCCAACAGTCCCAGCAGGGTGGCCTTCACCATGATGCCCTCGTCCATGGAACCGAGGCCATCTGAGTCTTCTCCAGGTTTTTTTGGGGGTGGAGGAGGGGGGCGGCTACGGTCAACATGCTGCGCCCGCTGCGCGCCTGCCCCGGTGGTGATCTCATAGATGGCCACCGGGAGCTCAATCAGGACCTCACTTGTGGCATCCTGTATGTCCATTAGGAGCAGCAATGACGCGCCCCCCACGGCTTATGTGCCAAGACAGGAAGGCACCCGCGTATGTGCCAAGAAAGGAAGGCACAGTTTTCTTCTAACATGGGACGTTCGGGGTCCCGGAGCCTACCTCAGCCCTCGCGAACCAACGCAAGAACCCTAAACCCTAAACCCTAAACGCCCCAAACCCTACACCCTACAGATAAACCCCCTACTCTATTCAGCGAGGCAAGGAAACGTCACCGACCGTCACCGCATGCTCCTGAAGTCGCATCGACAGCTCCTCAGGTGCCGACGGCCGGGCCCAAGAAGGCGAAGAAGCCGATCATGTGCAACATCACCCAGTTCATCCTCTGGGCTGCAGAGACTGTAGGCTTTGGGGCTTAAGGTTTTAGGGTTTAGGAGCAGATGTGCTGGGATTTTTTTGGGGCTCTACATGGAGTCCGCTGCCGAGTCATCTGTTTGATTTGGGGCTTCTGTGGGCAGAGGGCGCAGCAAACGATGAGATTGGATGCGACTAGCAATGTCTCCACATTCTCCACGTAGGGCTAGTATGGGCTGGTAAGGCCGTCCGTGGCCATTCTGTATTGAACAATACAAATGGAGCCTCGCAAAACGCACCCGTACGTGCAGGGGTTGGGGATGCACTACTTGAGCCTACTAGGTACACTGGCACATCCGAATGTCAGTTGTGTCAGTGGACTGCTTCATAAGATGCTCACCTTACCGAAAGATGAGAAAGTCGATTGTGCGTTTGGTTGCGCCCAACTCACGGGACCACACCCCGCATTGTACCAGCACGATCCAACAATGACAGCGCGAACGTCCACCGCACCCTGTTGCACTGTATGCCCGTGCTGCTAGGGACCCAGCTGATACAGCAGCTCAACGGAAGACACTTTCTTGCCAGCTCGAATGTCCTGGAAGCAGAAACGAAGCAACCGCTGACACGGCTAAGAACGCTGGGGCTGTTGATTCTTTCGGAACGTGGGGCGGAAGAGGCAAAGTGAGGGATAGCACATAATATCAGCCTGCAGCTTCTGCGCCAATTTTTGCGGAGCTCTTGCCCAGCTACGCTTTGAGCTGGAGAAAACTGTTTTATGAAGCAGCCAAGAGGATGCCTTGGGAGCACTGCGGTGAAGGACTGTGATGTCCAGTCGAAGATGATGGCGCCGGCAGGCAGGTGAACGTCAAAGGCTGCCTCACACAAGTACCTGGGACGAGCCACACTCCGTGGCCTTGACGCTGAGAATTTCAAGATGCACCTCTCCGGCCACACCCTCTGCCCAAACTCCCATGGTTCGCATGTCCTTGAGAGTCTTTGCATCTGGGCAGTAGATCTTGTCATCTTGGCAGGTCTTGATGGCCGCACCAGTCGCATCGTCCCAGTAATCTGTGAAGTTCGTAAGGGGAAGGGTGACGGTGTTCACTTGGCCCGCTGGTCCCACACTCAAGTCGGATTTGTAGCCATAGGCGTGAAACTTCCCACCTGGAGCATGCGCATTTCCAATGGAAAAGCGGAAGCCCTTGTAATCGTTCGCGGACTTTACCGTGAGGGCAATGTTCTTGCAAGCGGAGATGTCGGGAAAGATGCGTCCGGGATTCATGTCAACTACGTATGCCTGAATGAATCCAGGAGCCTTCAAGAACGGTACGTCCACGACCTGTCCACTGAAGATTCCCTTGTTGTCGGCCACGGCAAATGTACCTGTGGACTTGCCTCCCATCACTGGATCGTTCATCTGGCGCCACTGGTGTGTGCTGCCTGCCGCACCGTCGAACGATGCCAGCAAGATCTCGCTGGCAGCAGTCAGCTGAAGCGATGCTGCGAAAAACACGCTCAGAACACGCGCCATGGCTTTGTGCCTTTGGTCAGGCAGCGCTTGAGCTGACACTGAATGTACCTTGAAACACCTCGAGATCAAGACGCTATGCCGCACTTAGCAACTGCATCAGCTGAACTGTTCCACGATTGCACGACTTGCTGGCACATGTATTTGCACCATCCCCCAACCCTCCTTGCCTTGCTTGCCTCTGACACCCTAGGGGCCCTGCATCATGCCGCTGAACTATTCAAGCTTTTACGCGCTCAGTTCTGGGTATGCGCAAACAACGATGAGCACATGAGTGCACCCTTCCTCTGGTGCAAGAGCACCAGCTGTACGATAGGCACACAGGAGGAGGCCGAACAGTAGTGCGTTCACTAGTGCGATACCATCTACTACCGCAGCACCTCACACTGCCTCACACAATCACCTGGGACGAGCCACACTCCGTGGCCTTGACGCTGAGAATTTCAAGATGCACCTCGCCGGCCACACCCTCGGCCCAAACTCCCATGGTTCGCATGTCCTTGAGAGTCTTTGCATCTGGGCAGTAGATCTTGTCATCTTGGCAGGTCTTGATGGCCGCACCAGTCGCATCGTCCCAGTAATCTGTGAAGTTCGTCAGGGGAAGGGTGACGGTGTTCACTTGGCCTGCTGGTCCTGCACTAAAGTCGGACTTGTAGCCATATGCAAAGAATTTCCCGGCTGGGGCATGTGCATTTCCAATGGAGAAGCGGAAGCCCTTGTAATCGTTCGCGGACTTTACCGTGAGGGCAATGTTCTTGCAAGCGGAGATGTCGGGAAAGATGCGTCCAAAGGGGTTCATGTCAACGACAGATGCCTTAATGAAACCAGGAGCCTTCAAGAACGGTACGTCCACGACCTGTCCACTGAAGATTCCCTTGTTGTCGGCCACGGCAAATGTACCTGTGGACTTGCCTCCCATCACCGGATCGTTCATCTGGCGCCATCGGTGTGTGCTGCCTGCCGCACCGTCAAATGATACCAGCAAGATCTCGTTGGCAGCAACCAGCTGAAGCGATGCTGCGAAAAACACGCTCAGAACACGCGCCATGGCTTTGTGCCTTTGATCAGGCAGCGCTTGAGCTGAAACAGAAAATCTTGAGACCAAGACGCTGCGAGCGAAAGCAATGCGGTTTCTGATGCATTGCACGGCAAGAGTCCTTGTGCTGACTCAGTTGCTAAGGGTTTTCTGCATGCCTGCAGCCATCTATGCGAACCACGCCAGCGCTTTCAAAATTGTGGACGCCACCTGCTTAGGTCTCAGGGTCTTTGAAGCCAGCGTCCTTGTTTCCACCTTTGGCGCCGCTGACCACTGGCCTCAGTGCATCTTAGGGTTGCTTGGACACCTTAAAAGCAGGTAAAGCAGCTTCTACGACACCGGGGCTAGGAGAGTTCTGACTCTCAGTGCTGGTACCCCATTCAGGCTCAGGAGTTCAGGGAAACCATTCCGACTCCCAACCTGCATCAAGAGTTAAGTGGTATCCAATATGGAATATGTCATACATAATAATTTAATAATATATAGTAAAACAGGCATTGTATAATAATATAGACATTATAAAATGTAGTTTCAAGGGGTGAGAAGCCAATTCATCACCAACCACTGCAGCCGCAGCTCTTCTGCAGGCAAGGCCTGGTGGCTCACTACTAGTTGGGGAACCCCCATCCCCCCCCCCCCCCCCCCCCATCCCCACCCCCCCCCCCCCACTCCCCCCCCCCCCCACCCATCCCCCCATCCCCCCCCCCCCCCCACATTCTGGGTTTAGGGTTTATAGGGTTTAGGGATACTTTGGGATGCCAACATGATGCAGAGGTTGGCGAACGCATGCCGCTGGAGACCAAGGACCGATACGTGAGCCATTCGTCGGCACTAATCGCATTGCGCAAAGCCGATGCAAGAGCCCTTCGTCGGCACCGGCTGCACATGTCGAAGTACTACTCCGGCCAGCGGAAAGGACCTCATAATTCCCATTGGTACCAAAGTTTCTCACTGATCCTCTTCACCGGAGTCTCTGGCATTTCATTTTCTGAACGAACAGGCTTTCGCCATCTTTCGCCGACGCCACGTTTCGGGGCGCGGCGGGGTCGACTCTTGAAGAGCCTGGTAGGGCAGAGGGAACCGGCACAAGGAGTCCTGCGAAATCATATGGGTGGCTGTCAAAATTATGATCCCTTTTGGGGTACCCTGAATAAATATTCGGTGCCGTATAATAATCGGGATCCTATAAATCGACCATAATTTTGACAACCGCCCATATAGAGACAACCGGCTCTTGCACAGCAAAAGCACCCACCTATGAGAGAAAAAAATGTTTTTCTCACTTGCAACCGGTACTTGTTCTTCTTGCGAGGTACGGCCATGCTGTTTACTTTGGTACATGCTGTGCTTACCTGCATTCACCCAGGATCCACACGGAAACTCTTGGGCCATCCACCCTAGTTAAACCCTAAACTGCTGGGCCCAAGCACGTCTGGAGGACCATGAGGAGGCCGAAAGGGGTCAACAATCCACGAGCAGCATGGAAGGCATAGCCAATCCTCAGTTGGTTTGCGTTTAGGGTTTAGGGTTCAGGGATCAGGGTTTAGGGTTTAGGGTCTATGCTTTGGGGTTTCGACTTGGTACACTTCTCGATTTGTGCGTGTCATCCTTGCGCAGGGGCCATGCTAATCTTCTCTGTATCGTTCCAATTTTAGTTTAGGGTCCAGGGTTTAGGGTTTCCTCCCTAAGCCCCCCCCCCCCCCCCTGCAGCACAGTAGGGGCTCCTACTCAGAGCGTTCCAACTGTGGAGTCCGCCATGCCGCAACGGTTAACGGCCCTGCCAAATGCCCAAACTTGCAAACCCTAAACCCTAAACCCTAAATCCTAAACCCTAAGTCGCGAACATAGAGGAGCCGCCGCAGCGCATCATGATTCCACCTTGACAGGATGCTTCAGGCTTTCACACGTTCACATCCCGAACCTCTTCTTGAAGAGGGTTTCGACTCTCACACTGGCGCACACGCTGGCGAGGCTCCGGGCTTGAAGAGGGTTTAGGGTTTTTTGGGTGTAGGGTTTAGGGGGGCTTGATTCCATGGACACATTGAAGACAGTTGTGACAGCAAGGTGGCTCTTTGGATAGTTGTCCCACGTGGGCTCCATTTGAATGCCAGAAGGCCCCTTTCGTTTGCAGCCGTTTGACAAGAGAAACACAACCTCCTCCAGAGGCAGGGGGCGTGCTCTTCGATGTGCGGGGCTGAAGCTCAGCTAGACTCCCTAGAGCGAAGCCATGATGTCCCTACACAGTCCATAATTGCATCGCAAAAACAGGGTGAAAAGTCAAGCACTTGGCAAGCAGCATAACGCAGCAGGAAGCGTAAGCCCACGACCGATTGCCATGATAATGCAGCTGGGAAGAACAATCGCTTTCACCATCTGGCCCTCGGACGTGCCCTGCAGCAAGATGCAGACGCGGCCCGAGCCAAAGCACTACATTGCACACTACACTTGCCCACACATGTATTCGTTCAGGGCATCGGTATGAGCAGCCTAAGCTCTACTTTGGTGGATTCTTCAGGGAAGTGTCAGGAACAGGGCTGCATGTACGGCTTAAACTTGAAGAGATGGGCTTCAAAAGATCTTGGACTGGAAGGTGTAGAATGTGCGTTCCCCGAAAATCTGTGTGCAGTGCGACAGTGCTGGCAGCAGCGATCTCTCACGTCATTCTTGTTTGTTTGGATCATACTCTGGGCACTTTCGTGCTGATGTGATCGCAGCCATCTTCCTCAACCACTACTACTGGCTTCAAGCCATGCAAGCCTATTGACAAGTCCAGCCGCTTTCGTTGCTGTACAAACCGATGTTGGCGGGTGAAGGATCAAAAAAAAATAAATAAGCATCAAAAAAAAATACCCCCAAGGGATCAAAAAAAATAAATAAGCATCAAAAAAAAAATAACCCATTTTCCTCTTGGAATACAGCGGGGGGGGGGGGGGTTGGGGTTTGGGGGGGGGTTGGGGGGGGGGGGGGGGGGTTGGGGGGGGGGGTTGGGGGGGGGGGTTGGGCAGGGTGGGGTGGGGGGGGGGGGGTGGGGGGGGGGGGGGGGGTTGGGGGGGGGGGGGGGGGTGGGGGGGGGGGGGAGGGGGGGGGGTTGGGGGGGGGGGGGGCGCCATTTGCAAACACAATGCTCGCACGATGGGTAGTAGTGGGTGGTGGTAGTGGTTGGAAAACCTTCTATTTTCTCGATCTTTTAATAGGAAAGCCTCTATTTCTTCATATTCCCACAAGAAAACCTCTATTTATAGGAAACCTCTATCATCTCTATGTTTCCATCGGAAAACCTCTATTTGCATGTATTTTAAGAAAAACTTAAACTTTTTAGTATCCCAATGGCTTCAACAAGATTCATAAAGCACGCTTTGCAGTGGCACAGCTTGATAAAAACGCGGCGGGGTTGGGGTTGGCGCAGCCCCCAACCCCCCCCCCACACCCCCCCACTTGGCTTTGCAGCACGCTTTGCACAGCTTAAAAAAAACAGCGGGGGGGTTGGGGGGGGCGCAGCCCCCCCCCATTTGCAAACAATGTTCGCACGATGCGTAGAAGTGGTGGTAGTGGTTGGAAAACCTTCTAGTTTCTCGATCTTTCAATGGGAAAACCTCTATTTCTTCATACTCCCACAAGAAAACGTCTACTGTCTTCACGTTTTCATGAGAAATCCTCTATTATCTCTATGTTTCCATCGGAAAAACTCTACTTCTACATGTTTTAAGCAAAAAACTTCCATTTTCTTTGCATTCCAATGGCTTCAAAGAACAAGATATAATACATACTACATAATATATAGAATATACTATATAATGAATAATAAATAATAAACTAATTAATAACAAATAATATTATATATTTTATATATTGTATATTATGTATACAATATATATTATATATTATATACTTTATATTATGCATTATATGCAGTATATAATATGCAATATACAATATCTGATATGCAATACATGACATATAATATACAATATGCAATATAAATATATATATATATATATATTTATTCATATTAATATTTACTTATTTATATACATACACATATCATATAATGTACGACCATATGAAAATATAATATTAATATAAATGATATATATATACATATATGTATATATATATAAGTATAAGTGTGTATATATAGTATAACAGATATAATGTTAATATAATATATATATATATAGTATAACATAATACTAATATGTAATATATAATAAATTATATAATATATTATTCAATATATGATATCATATATATATACAAAATACATAGTACATACGACATAATATATGATACATGAATACATAACACATAATACACAATACAGAATGCATAATATGAAACATATAATATATAATTCATAATACATAGTACGTAAAACATAAAACATAATATAGATTTCATAATACATAATTAATACATAATACATAATATATAATATATCATATATAATATATAATATATAATATATAATGTATAATGTATAATGTATAGTATATAATAGGTAATGTGTAATGTAATGTGTATTATGTAATATGTATATATATATATATATATATGCACATACATACATACATATATATACACACACGTTGACCTTCACTGTCGTGTGTATATAATATATATTTATATTTATTGATTTTTACTTATTTGTCTAATTTAATTATGTATTTATACGCATAGGACCCGCAGTACCAGGCGAACAGACAAGCAGACCAGAGGACCAGAGGACCAGGGGACCACAAGACCAGGGGACCACGGGACCAGAGGACCACGGGACCAGAGGACCACGGGACCAGAGGACCACGGGACCAGAGGACCACAGACCAGAGGACCACGGGACCAGAGGACCACGGGACCAGAGGACCACGGGACCAGAGGACCACGCAGGTGGGGACCACGCAGGTGGGCCAGACGGCTTATTTTTTTTTTGATGCCTATTATTTTTTTATTGATCCCTATTATTTTTCTTTTTGATGCCTATTATTTTTTTTATTGATGCCTATGCCGATGTTGGCGGCATGTGCAGGTCCTCGCATGTCCTCTCTGTCTAAGCTACTGTGCTTGTCTTCTGAACTTGTCTTGACGAAGCCTTCCGCTGCATCGGCCTTCCGTGCGTCTCGGTACTAGCCTGTGTCTAAAAAAATGGGAAGCAAGCCCGAAGGATATGGAAACCACATGCCGCCACCATGTTGGATAAAGGTAACATAACATAATTCGGCAGCTTCGGCATATGGAGGGTGTGCACAGCTTGCACATACAGGCGCATCAAGAGCAACGTGGTGCCCGCAGCCACAGGCGAATGCAAGGCGGTTGCAGTTGCAGCGGCTATGATCCTAGAGGGTGGTGTGGCCACCCATCTGGCTCTTGCTACTACCGGTTGCTGACCCCATACCGAGCCTCATCGCCAAATGTTTCAGAGATGGTCTCGGGATGAGTCTTCATGAAGGCCTGGGCGAGGCCAGTTATCACGGCTGCAAGCCGCATTCCATGGCATGATACGGCACCTCGTCACGGCGCCGGGGATGAGATGTGGCTAGCAATTCCGAGGAAGGACTGAGGCCGAGTTGGGGGGTTTGGAGCATTTGCCACTGCGGATTGAGGCTTGGTTGATTTTGCCCGGTGGCGGGCTTGCCACATCCATGACATGAAATGGTGCGATAAGGCGAGGCCCTATGCTTAAGATTGTAGTAACATGCTGACGCGTGGGCGACTTCTTAGCTAGGCTGTGGGCCGTGTAATCTGCTTTGCCGGTTTCACGGAACTGGTCCTGTGCAGGTGCCAGCTTTCAAAGTATCTGTACTGCATGCAGTGAAATCCGAAGTTGCTTTGGTTGAAGGGCGCGTCCTTGAAAGCTTTGATGTACTTGTGCCGATTCGTAGGGGAGGAGTACCACACCTAGGCGGGCCATGAAGTTGCTGGGCAAAATGGCGAAGCGCTCCTCTTCCAGGCGCCGAGCGTCGATGGATGTCACAAATGCGATGTGACACATGCGGGCAGCGAAGAACATGATAATGGCCCCAACCTCTTCCAGAGGATCTCTCCATCGATTCTGCGTGCTGTCCGTCGCACATGCAGAAAAGGCAGGCGTAAGCCCTTCACGCACTGCACCATCAGATGCGGATTGTCCTGAGCAATGTCTTAGAAGTGAGCTAGAGACTGGCGTGGTGTCAAGAAGCTGCGAGAGTACGAAAACATCTCCCAACGAGGGTACACAGACAAAGACTCTCGTCGCATAGCAGAAGATGACTCTTCTGCCTCACGCATCAGCACATGCCTCTGAGGACCCGGCCGACATCTCCCCAACAGTTTGCAGAACGGCACTAAATACTTTAAACTATCTGGAAGCAAACGTCAGCTGCGGGGTCGGCCTTTGCCCGTGCGACTCTGCGGCCATGCGCGCACGTCAGGGGCATGATTCGGTTGTGCAAAGCAGCATAGCAGGTGGCTTTCGGGATCGTGACCTCATTTGAATATATTTACATATATCGAGACAAAGCATGCGAAAGTCTAAGTCACCACCACTGCGTATCCTGGCACGACAGTCGCTTCAGCAAGCGGGGCACGTGCCACAGTGGCAACTTCTTGGCAGGGCTCTAGATGCTCTCAGGCATCACTGAGCTTTGGGCCCCCCAAAAGCCCAGACCTGGCTTCTGCTCGGAAAGTGCTTCGAATTCGGGTGTCCTTGAGGTTTGGAGGGTTCACCGGTTCGCGTGCATGTCGCTCAGACATCCCCGAAACCTGAGGCGCGAGCCAGCACGGAAGCCCAAAGTAGCCTCAGGACTTCCCCGTTTCAAGGAATGCCCATCTTAGAGCTCTGTGTGGCTAAAGAGGTATCAAAGATTCTGATCGGTCCTCAAAGCAGAGAAAACAAGCGGACGGTGTGAGGAAGAGAGGTGACACGAGAGCACGAAGCAGCAGGTGGAGCAACTTCTACTCAGAACCATCTTACGTAAAAGAGAGCAAGACAGAGAAAGAGAGGGAGAGAGAGAGAGAGAGGAAAGAAAAAGGGAGTGCGAGGGGAGAGAAGCACAGGACAGGATTTGACATGTGAATGCGCATCTGGCATCGCAGTCTGTGCGACAGAGTCTTGGCTGTTAGTTTCGTTGTTTTGTGTGTGTGTGTGTGTGTTAGTGGCATGTGTTTTTGCGGAGTTGCTTTGGTTCGCTCGGGCTTGAACAGACTGCTGCAAAATAGCCCATCTCCCGAAGCAAGACGTTTTGGAAAGCCCTAAGACTCCCTCAGACGGAAGAGAATCGGCGCCAAGGGCCCTGCACGTGGCGCTTTGCTGTCAATTCCTTCTCGACAGGTTCAAACTTCTCCTTCTCCCAGCCTTTTGGCACACGCAAGGTGGAGCGAGTGTCTCGAAAACTGGTGTGCTGCTGCTGGTGACTGCCCATGACCTTTTGCGACCCCCCCCAAGGCCAAAACACGAACTCAATTTGTCAACTGCGCGCACCAAGAACAGCCAGGTACGACCAGCCTCGCCGCTGCGCAATGAACAAATCACCTGGGTAGACATGGGCTCAAAGAGCTGCAAGGAGCTGCAACGGAGCCATTTTGGCATATTGTTGGTGCTCCTTCTTTTCTGCCGACGATCTTAAGCGAGCGCGAAAACCAACATCGTCTGTGATTCAGTGATAAGGCGAGCATGGCACTGTGCCTGGACCGACTTGCCGCATGCACCATACAGTTGTAGAATATCAACTGCGCACCCATACTGCACGATGGCATCGTCTTTCTTGCAATAGAAAGAGACACGGGTCCTCGGCATCACGTGCTCGTGAGGCTATGTACAGAATAGCTGCAGCGGCCCTTGTTAGGCCCCATCGTCTTTCAACAGCTGCCGGGGTCCACTGCAGCCTTCTCTCACTGCTGTCCTCGCTTAGCTTGTTGCCTCAGGGTGTGGAGCAAAGTTACTTCCCTAAACCCTAAACCGTAAACCCTTTTTAAGCACGGACTGAGGCTGCCGGCAACACCTGAAAGCAGGCAACCCTAAACCCTAAACTCTAAACCCTAAACCCTAAACCCTCAGTGCTGCGTTAAACTGGAAGAGGCATTCTGCCGGCTCTCCTGAGGCGGTACGGACAGCGAGGCCCGCATGGCTTCCTCAAAGAGCTTGCGGGCTTCTGCCTTTGCGGCTGCGTCGCCGCCGGCCGATTGTGCCACCTGGTGTTTAGGGTTTAGGGTGTTTTTTTCTTGCTCATGGCAACTGAGACCACGATCGCTTGAAAACACTACGCTAGGTCGGGATATGTGAATTCACAACTTCCAGGCTGCGGCGGCACCTGCAATGCCCGAAGATCTTTCATCGCCTCGCGCTTCGCTTGGCTCGAGTAGAGTTCACAGCTGTGACTTCTAAGACGCGGTTTAGGGGTTAGGGTCATTTTTGGCTTTAGGCTTGGTTTTGGTTTAGGTAACTTCAGGTGCAACACACTGAAAACCATGGGCAACCGGGTGCCTCCTCTGCGCGACGCCGGCGCGGCCCGCGGCAAAGGGGCTCCAACTGCTCGGGCTCTGAAGCGCCTGGCAAAAGGTGATTCAACGTTTGGAACATGTGCAGTGTCATTTTACATATATAGACATGCATACATATTTATATATATATATATATGAAGATGTATATCTTCCAAAGGGATGCACATAAATAACATACGTGCAGACATGGTGTGGGTAGTGTGTATAGTGTGTAGTGTAAATATCCTCTGGCACGGTGCTTGACATCCTGGGACTAAGAGGGCGGCAAAGGTCTGCCCTCCACTTAACCCCCTCCTGACATTGTTTGCAGATCCCTTAAACATCGGAACCTCTCAAAAAGCGCTGCTACAAACTCAAAACACCTGGTTACAATGGCATCTCCAGTCTTCACTTCTGAAATCCATTCTCCTGCACGGGGGGCCTTTTCGTTGGTGCCACAGCTCTGCGTACGCAAACGCTTGTCGCTTGCTCTCCTTCTCTGGCTGACCTGCGCCCAGATGTCTTGAAGGTACGAGCCATAGCTCCGTCTTTCAACTTTTTTTCATAATGATAACACTATGAAAAAATGAAGTTGATATTGACATTATTGAAAATATGAATCAGGATCCACTGCAAACTCTTCAGGCCTCGGTCCCCCAGGTAGCTGGGCCCCACCACGCGGCAAATGTTCGCGTTCACACCCCTGGGCCGCGCCCCGCCACGCCAGCGGAGCTGGCGTTGGAAGTGGCGCAGATGCTGCTCCTGGTGCATGGTTGCCGGCTTCGGCCAAAGTGAATCGAAAGGTATGCTTTATGAGAGCTTGCAAGGGTCACCATGGGATTCTGCCAGCATGCAATACACTTCTTCACCTCACACAGCGATTTTGTCACCGAACGGGGTGTCCAGACAGTCCGCGAGGGCTCTCTGCTCCTCTTCAGCTGCCTGGAGTGCCCCCGCAGGGAAGAGATGACACTTCTACCCCATTCTGCTGGTCGGTTTTTTATCCCTCCGCGATCGCACTCCCGAAGCACTCCAGTCAGTGCAAGTCTATACAGCATTTGCAGGAAACTGCTATGTTCTCAACGCGCCCAATAGTCACGGGAACTTCCGCAAAATCCCTCCTAAGTCTAGAAGACTCGTCGTAGCAATCCTAGACTGGGATTCTATCTCACTTAAAGCCCTGAACATCCTTATCACCAGGTCCTACTCGACTCCTCAAGCTTCTTACAAAGAGGGGTTCTTTAGGGGCTACTTGGGTATATAGGGACTACATAAGGTATATATATATATATATGCATTTTTATACAGGGGTTCTATAAGAGGAATAAGAAAGTCAGCAGCTACTGGGCCTTCGAGGCCACGGTCATTCGCTGGATGGCCGCCAGGAGCTCCGCGCGTGACGCGGATGCGGCAAGTAAGGCCGAAAGCTCCTCCCAAGGGCTGCGGAGAGTTGTGTGTGGCTTCCTTATAAAAGTTCCCCTTTGAACCTTATAAGAGGTCTTTCTTTTGCTTGCTTTTCTGAATGTTGGGCCGAAGCCCTATGAAACCATAAGCCCTGAGTTGGCTCACGTGGTTCCCTTGTGCCTGTCTGGTGTTCTTTCAACCCGACATGCACCTCAACTTCGCCAAACTGAGTCCTCATTCTGGCGCAGGGCGGTTTCCAAGTCCCAAGTCACCGGAGTAAACCTTGACAGCGCGATTTCTGCGTCCAAAGCGAACGGTATTCGGAGCTGCAAGCTCTGAGCGCTGCAACCTCCCATGGCTCCCGAAACCTTGCGCGCAAACAGAACCTTAATGGAGCTGAGGAGCAGCACTTGGTCACTTCCTGTGGAGCACTCGGTGATGAAACGAAGCCGGGGGTCCGTCCCGCCACCTCCGCCAAGCTTTCGGGGGCGAAAGCCAGTCAGGGCGGAGCAAGATGGACACATTCAACCGCGCCGTTCAGACGTCTCAGAACTTCCTATCACTTCATATCACTTCTAGGTGCCAATAATAAACATGACTCATAATCATCATCATCATAATCATGATAATAATTAATAAGAAGAAGAATCCACGAGGTATCTCGGCACCCCTGGGGCCTTCAGCGTCCCTCTCCGCCAGAGCCGATGACACGGCTCGGCGAGCTGCAGATGAGAAGGGCTGCCCACGAGCCGTGAGCTCGTTGAACCTCGGGGTTTAGGGTGTAGGGTTGAGGGTTGAGGGTTTAGGGTTTAGGGGTGAGCTCATTGAACCTGAGCGCTACCAGGGTACCTAGCCATAAGTTCCCTAAGTCCAGCTTCCTAGGCTATCAGGAGGTTCTACGTGCGGTTCTAATTACTTACTAAGTACCACGAACCTCCAAGTACGATTGCGTAAAGGGCGGCGCAGTGGGAGACCGAAGACAGGCAACTGCAACGGCGGGAGCCTCCCTAAACCCTAAACCCTAAACCCTAAACCCTAAACCCTAAACCCTAAACCCTAAACCCTAAACCCTAACCCCCAACCCCTAAACCCTAACAGAACTTAAAGGTAGCGCAGCTGGGGCCACAAAGAAAGGCGCGTATGCCCAGAACCAAGCCCGGTGACCGAGACCGCCGAAAAGGCTGACGCCGGGTTCGGCGATTTTTGGGGCTCACAGAAATGCGTTGGGAAGCCCGGGGTGGTTTCTGGGCTACTATTTGCTTAAGACCCCTAAACGAAAAACAACAATCCCTATATTACCCTTAAATAGGGAAGAATGGATTTATCTTTTCGGGGTTCTTAAGCAACTAGTAGTGGGGTAGGTACCCGGAGAGAACTCGTGACTGTCTCCTCCTTTAGCCTGCCTTGCGTGGTCCGTCGGAGTCTTCATGCCAAGTGACAGCTGCTTGACTCTGACCAGGAGGATGTGCCAGTTGATGGCTTCCGCCACATCTCCAGAGGCGCCGGTGCAGATCTTCAGCCGCCCCAGAGAAATCCAGGCTCGGGAGCCACCGGCACCGGGAAGCCTCGAATTCTGGGGAAGCTATAGAGGCTAGTGTAACGGAGACCGGACCTCTTTTCAGCTCTGCTTGGTTTTAGGCAAATGGCGAGGACCTCTTTACAGCTCTGCTTGGTTTTAAGGAGCTTCTGAAGATATCTCGCCCATGTCTTGTGAGTCAAGGGACGGGGCTGCTTCCGTGTCCCTGCGCCTGCGCTTCGCAGGGTGAGGCTCAGGCTCCGCATCCCGTGGAGCTGAGGTCATGTCCTGTTGGTGAAGATTAAGAAGCCAAGGCAGCTGATGCCTTCCCTGAGGCTCTAAGGACCCCTATTCTCGGGTTTTTGGGCCCCGAAGGCCTTCCTAAATAAGGCTTTTGGGCTATTTTGAGCCCAAGGGATTTTGAAGCCCAAGAAACAGAGCAAGCAGCGACTATCTTCGGCGAGGGCTCGGCTGCACTGTCCGGGCCCGCCCCGGACATGGCAAGCAAAGAGCTGCCGCAGCCTTCGTCCTCGGTCAGCACCACGCCTTTGGCGCGCACATCGTCGACGACCTAGCGGCTGACTGCGGCAGACTGCATGTAGAAAATCATAGATATACATACATATATTTACTATATAATATTAATAGAAATATATGTACATATATACATATATATCTATATATATATATATATATATATGGCGGCTCTGGAGTTCAGTGGTGTGGTGCTGGCAACCATTAAGTCATTTGTGCCCACTTGCTTCTGGGCACTGTGCGATCGCGACATCCACACTCTCGAGCACAGCAGATGCCCGTGCTCATATCACAACCCCGGGGATGAACTTCCAGAACAGGATAACTGGGTCAACGTGATCGCAACAAACTCCAAGGGCGGCCATGCTTCAATGTGCGAACCCCACATAATGAATTCGATCAAAGAAGCAAATACAAGCAAAGATACATAAAGTCAATACAAGTAAATTTTGACTGATGCCACCACCTTACGTTCGCGACTTAGCGCGGCCTCCGTGACCATCATGGCGCTGCCGGCGTCCAGCCCCACCATTGGAGCGCCTGCTAATGGAGTCGGTTCCGACTGACAGAATTTCACGATAACCTCTGAGATCCCGAGGATCAGGTGGAAGTCTAAATTCCCAAGCCTCCAAAACTTACCAAGAACACAAGACTAATGTTGTTGGCCGTGCACCACCAGCTAGCCACTACTCAACCCTGCCAAAAGAGGCACGTGCCTGCAGGTCAACTCTGCAAAGTCAATTCTCAGCATGTCTCAGCCAAACGTCATGGAGCCGCATGAGCATGGCCTCCCAGGCAAGCATTGGAGCGGGCGTAGGCCAACAGCACCTCCGCTGCCCGGCACGAAAGCTCCAGCACTCTCTCCTCAGCAAGGTGCTTGTCAGGCGTTACGCTGCTCCAAGGGTGCTGGCAGTTGTGGGGCAAAGCGCGACCCAGACATACACACCAATATACACACTGATATGACAATGAACACTCCTGATGGGATCGAGAAAATTCACACTTTCGAGCCTGAGAATGGCATTCCGAATCCGATGCCGTCGAGCGTCAGCCCTCTTCTCCCGTGATTCCTCCAGAAGCTCTAACCACAAGGCCTTGGCCCGCTTTGTCTCCTCCGTGACGCCCCAGCCTTCGCAGGGCTTCTGGTCCGGATCGGTTTTACCTGACGGAGCACAACTGGTGACTTTAAGTACAGTAGACCATGTTGGACTGTTTGACTGTAGCAGCATCTGACAGTTGATGTGCAGTAAGCCACTCTGTAAGCTGACGTGCATTTCTGTTGCGCATTGCCCTCAAATGCTCTCTCTTTCTGTCTCAAACTTCGTTTCCAAGCCGCCCAGGTCCGGGAGTCCGAAGGCATCTGCTTGAGCTGATTGTGCCGCCTCTGCTTCCCGCCTGAGGGCAGATAGCGGAGGCTTTCATACGAGTGCCGAGTACCCTTTTTTAACCCAGGACTGCTGGTGCCGAGTACCCTAAACCCCAAACCCTAAACCCATGATAAGCCATGCCTCCGCTCGGCTGCTGACTGATCACCACGTCCATCTTGACTTCCAGTCCTTTGCAGATCCTCGTCGTAGGTTGCACGCTTTTGCGCGTCTGACAGGACCTCGAATGCCTCAACGACCTTGAGAAATTCATCTGCGCTTCCACCTTTGTCCGGATGTGTGGCCAGTGCTAGATGTCGGTATGCTTGTCGAATCTGGGCATTGTCAGCCTGTCGGCTCACACCCAAAACGTTGTAAAGCGTCTGACTGGCCGCGAGCTTCATCTCATTGGCGGGTTGTGAGCCATGCACCGCATGCCGTGCTTACCCGTGCCGGCTCATGCTCATGTATCTAGCAGACTGCTCGTCTCAGCTGTTGGAGCATGTAACTATCTTGTATCTCACTCGGCGCGTGCTGTAGATCCAATGGCTGAGGCACATCGCGACACATTGCCATTGCCAATGTGCAGAGACTGCTCTACATTTTGCCACACCATTTGCCACCCCTAATCTCCATACCTCCCATCCCGGCAACTGCTCTGAAGCCCTGTCCGCTCCCTTCAGTTCAGGCAGTGTGCGTGCGCCATGTTTCCGAACGGATTCGCCCCACGCTCTCTGATGCCTGCTGAGTGCAGGTAGCCCCCCCGCTAGTGGTTCCAAAGACCACTACCGCTCCTGACAAGAAGTCCCAGGATGTCCCAGGTGAAACGCAGGAGGGTCGGGAGCGAGAACCAAGATGCGTAACAAATACCGTATATACCTTTGTATGTATGCGTATATATATATATAATATACTATATGCAATATGCAATATACATGTATGCATACATACATATGATCTATATATATATACACATACATACAATATGAAGCTCTGTCTGCACCTGGGTTGACAGCTATTCGGCCCCCTGCCTGGCGCACAGCACTCGACCCCGCGGTGCCGCGCGCCCACGCAAGGCTTCAATGAATTAGCGATCACAGACCAGGAGGATCCAACTGGTTTAGGGTTTAGGGTTCAGGGGTTTCGGGTTTGGGAGTTTTCTTGCATGACCACGTGTTTTTGCAATAAAGACAACCCGTCCATGGATCGACGAGGAAGTTGCAGCGAATTGGGTGCAAAAGCTAACTTAGGCGCTGCAGTTCACGCAGCTGTACTTTGGCCCTTCAGCTTTGAGCGCTTCGATTGCCTTGGGAGGGCCACAAGACATCCCCAACCTTGTCACGGCCCCCAATGTCACTACTTGGAGGTTCATGGTACTCATTAACCAATTAAAACTGTACTTCTAACCCACTTATTAGCCCCTTAAGTGCCCTAATTTACTAATATTAGACGTACAGCTATAAGCACAGTAATTGGGCAATAAGTACCATGAACCTCCACAAGTATGTGTCCAGCTGAGGAGCAGAGGCCTCCAAGCCTTTCGTGACAGACGCCGCTGTCGAGGCGTCGGAGTCAGAGGCCAAGGACTTCTCGGGCCTAACTAGTTCGCGAGTTGTTTTTCTCTACATGAAGCATTCTGCCAACCCCAGTATCAAGATCGGATGCTTAGACGACTGGACCGCTCTCCTGCCTGGCGGTCTTGGTCAGCTTCTGAACATCCACGGTGAACTTGATGGCATCTGCGGCCGCCTTTGTGCGGAGGTAGTAGAGGCCCATCTTCAATCCCAGCTGCCAGCCATGGAAATGCATGGAGGACAGTTTGGCGGTGGTCACATCCGTCATGTGGATGTTCAGTGACTGCGACTGGTCGATGTAGGCGCCGCGGTCGCCGGCCATATCCAGGACGACCTTCTGCCTGATCTCCCAAACCGTCTTGTACAACTCCTTGAGGTCCTGGGGCAGGTCCATCTTCTGCACGCTGCCGTTGTGCGCGACCAGCTGCACGCGGAGTTCCTCGTTCCACAAGCCGCGCTGGATGAGATCCTTAAGCAGGTGCCGGTTCACCTGCACGAACTCTCCTGAGAGCACTCGGCGCACGTAGAGGTTCTGAGTGTAGGGCTCGAAGGACTCGTTGTTGCCAAGGATCTGGGCTGTGCTGGCCGTCGGCATGGGTGCCACGAGCAGGGAGTTCCGCAGCCCGAAACGGGTGATGCGTGTCTTCAGGCCGGCCCAGTCCCAGCGTCCGCTGCGTGGCTGCCGGTCCCAGAGATCGTACTGCAGGAGACCTTTGCTCGCAGGGCTGCCTGCATAGGTCTCATATGGGCCGCAGGTCTCTGCAAGTTCACAGGAGGCCTCACAGGCCGCAAAGTAGATTGTTTCGAAGATGTCCTCGTTCAGGCGCCTTGCCTCCTCGCCCTCGAAGGGCAGCTTCATGATCAGGAAGGCGTCTGCCAGGCCCTGCACTCCCAAGCCCACGGGCCTATGGCGGAGATTGGACTTGCGAGCCTCTGGTACCGGGTAGTAGTTCCGGTCGATGACTTTGTTCAGGTTCCGCGTCACCACCTTGGTCACCTCATAAAGCTGCTGGAAGTCATAAGTGCCCTCGGCGCTGGCAAAGGCTGGCAAGGAGATGGAGGCAAGGTTGCACACTGCCACCTCATCCTTCGAGGTGTACTCAATGATCTCTGTACACAAGTTGGAGCAGTGGATGGTGCCGAGGTTCTGCTGGTTGGACTTGCGGTTCGCATGGTCCTTGTACAGCATGTAAGGCGTCCCAGTCTCCATCTGGGACTCGAGGATTCGGAACCAGAGCTGCTGCGCCTTCACCGTCTTGCGGCCCTTGCCTTGGGTTTCCAGCCGAGCATACAGCTCGTCGAACTCGTCGCCCCAAACATCCATCAGCCCCTTGCCCGTCTCCTCATCGTAGGCCTCGTTCGGGCAGAACAGCGTCCAGTCTTGATTGTCCTTCACCCGCTTCATGAAGAGATCGGGGATCCAGAGCCCGTAGAAGAGATCTCGGGCACGCTGCTCCTCCTTGCCGTGGTTCTTCCGAAGCTCCAGGAAGTCGAAGACATCCGCATGCCAGGGCTCCAGGTACATGGCAAAAGATCCCTTCCTCTTGCCCCCGCCCTGGTCCACGTACCTGCTGGGAGCATTATCTTCTCATTAAAGGGGTGCTGCGGGCCCAAGATGGGGTGGGTGGGGGATCGATTCAACGAAGGGTCCCGACCCCCTTACCCCGTGATCAAATGTGACTTGGCTACATGTTAATCACCGGTTTTCGGTTGGGCGCTTAGGGATCGTGGTAGCCCAAGATAGCGCGGCATGGGAGGTATCAAGTGGCATCGCGGCCGCTTCAACTCCTTGGCACATCCAATGACCCAGTCTGTCCCACCATGGCGAATGGAATCACGGATTCTCAACAGCACGCGGCCGCAATTGCGACCAGCACACCATTTGGGCAACAAGCTTGTACCCCACCGCACAGTAACTATGCGAACAAAAGCTTGGCAACCCTGGAGAAAACCATGAATTCCCATCGGTTGGCCATAAGAGGGAGCTCTTCTTCTTCCTCTTTCTTTCTCGCCCTCCTCTACGACTCGATGCACGTATATCTTCCTCTCACGATGCTTGCTGGCTGTGTCCCAGTCTGTGTAGCTCGTATCGAGCACTCCTGGTGGCGGGTAAGCTAAGTCTCTGCTTCTGCCAGGCACGGAAATGAACATTCCCCTCCCGAGTCTCTCCGTGGCTCTTCTCCCCTTCGGTCTTATCCAAGAATCATTGAAGCAACTGGTGTCTGCACTTCTTCTCGCCGTGACAATGGCCAGTCGCAGGGCTCAGGGGAGTTTGGGTCGATTCTGGTCCCCTGTTAAGTTTCACAGCTTGAGAACCCTCCCTTCCTTTCCTTCTTTCCTTCTTTCCTTCTTTCCTTCTTTCCTTCTTTCCTTCTTTCCTTCTTTCCTTCTTTCCTTCTTTCCTTCTTTCCTTCTTTCCTTCTTTCCTTCTTTCCTTCTTTCCTTCTTTCCTTCTTTCCTTCTTTCCTTCTTTCCTGCTTTCCTGCTTTCCTTCTTTCCTTCTTTCCTTCTTTCCTTCTTTCCTTCTTTCCTTCTTTCCTTCTTTCCTTCTTTCCTTCTTTCCTTCTTTCCTTCTTTCCTTCTTTCCTGCTTTCCTTCTTTCCTTCTTTCCTTCTTTCCTTCTTTCCTTCTTTCCTTCTTTCCTTTCCTCTTTCCTTCTTTCCTTCTTTCCTTCTTTCCTTCTTTCCTTCTTTCCTTCTTTCCTTCTTTCCTTCTTTCCTTCTTTCCTTCTTTCCTTCTTTCCTTCTTTCCTTCTTTCCTTCTTTCCTTCTTTCCTTCTTTCCTTCTTTCCTTCCTTCCTTCCTTCCCTCCTTCCTTCCCTCCTTCCTGGCTTCCTGGCTTCCTTGCTTTCCTGCTTCCTTGCTTCCTTCCTTCCTTGCTGCGAGTTTGTGGACTCCCGCTGCCGTGGCTATTGTGCAGTGTTACGCAGCTGTTTCGGATGAGACCCTGTTGTAGCTACGAGGAGTTCCTTCTTTCCCATGATATCGACTCACTTCATGTCGCAATTGCCCTCAACCTGCCTCGCTGTCTCATTGAAGTTGCGGAGCATGGGCACAAGGCCGTTGCTGTGGCCGTTGGTGCCCCTGATGTAGGAGCCGCTGGCGCGCACGTTTGAGATAGCCACGCCGATCCCACCGGCAGACTTGGAGATGGAGGCGCACTGCTTCAGCGTGTCGTAGATGCCTTCGATGCTGTCGTCTTGCATCTTTAGCAGAAAGCAAGAGGACATCTGCGGCTGGGGCGTTCCGGCATTGAAGAGGGTCGGGGTCGCGTGCGTGAAGAACTTCCGGGACATCAGGTCGTACCTGGGTGCAGGCTCAGACAAACAATAACAAGCTCAGAAGTCTTGCCATTCCTGGTTTGGCGAGGCTACGTCTACGTTTGAGCCGGCGTTCGCTGCATGCCGTTACAAACATTTCGCCTGGCCGCGTCTCTAGGGCAGCACGGATGTCCCCCGTGTGGATACCGCAGGCTGCCCGCATGATCATGTGCTGCGGCCTCTCCACGATCTTCCCATGAACGCGCAGGAGGTAGGACTTCTCCAGAGTTTTGAATCCAAAGTAGTCGTAGCCCAGATCTCTCTTGTAATCGATGGCCTGGTCGAGGGCCTCCGCGTTGGCCTGGACGAACTGCCAGACGTCCTCAGCCAAGAGAGCCGCGGGCCTGCCCTGCTTGTCCACGTAGTTGTGCAGGACCTTGCACGTCTCGTAGAAAGAGTCCGAGGTGTTCTTGTGCAGGTTTGATACCGCGATCCGCGCTGCCAGGGTAGAGAAGTCCGGGTGCTTCTGCGACATGTACGCGCACGTCTCGGCCGCCAGGGTGTCCACCTCCGACGTGGAGATGCCGTTGTAGAAGCCCTCGACCACCTTCTGTGTCACGGGCACGGGGTCAACGAAACGGGGATCCAAGCCTTCGCAAAGCGTCTTGATGCGTCGGGTGATGGCGTCAAACTTCACCTCCTGGCTTTGACCGTCCCGCTTCACCACGTACATGGGCGCCATGGACACTAAGAATGTTAGGGGCAATCTTTTCCCAAGTGGACCAGCTGAAATGCTTTGAGCCATATAGCCATTTAATGGGCGGCATCGGCCTGAGTTTTGGCGCGGTGTCGGCGCAACTGGAACTTCTCATATTCTCACGATGGCCAAAATCAGTCAGACACAGATGCGGGATGCTGTGCAATGGGGATGGTGGTCGCTGGCGCTGAACGGCACCTTTTTTGTCCGAATGGAGGCTTCCCCTGGGCACCTCCGACAGCTTGGAAGTAGACGTCTGGCGTCTGCTGATCGCAGGCGCTCCTCCCGCCAGTGGCCTCAAGATGCCCACTGCTCCTGACTTAACAGGATGTCCCCGGTGATACATAGGAGGATCAAGAGGAAGAAGGTGTTTGTGGTGTTCACACACCTTGCTTTCCACCCCCTGGTCCCGCGTGCAGCTCGACCCCGCGGCCGCATGCGGCTAAATGGATCTCGGCGCTTCAGCAAATCGAACTTCGGAAGCCGGAGGTGGGGCATGCGGGGAAAGCTTGACATGTTTGTGTCTACATGTCATATCATTTCGAGTGGTTCTGAGTGGGGGGATTGTTATCTGGCCCACACCCGCACTCAGCGGCCTCCTTGATGAAGATTCGCAGGTCCAGAGATCGCAAATTAAGAGCGAATTGGGGTGCAAACGCTGGCTTAGGCGCTGCAGTTCACGCAGCTGTACTTCGGGCCCTCGGCTTTGAGCGCTTCGATTGCGGAGGCCTCCAGGCCCTTCGCCGAAGATGTAGCCGTGGAGGCATCAGAGTCAGAGGCCAAGCACTTTCCTGCCTTGGCAGTTTTCGTTAGCTTCTGAACATCCACGGTGAACTTGATGGCATCTGCGGCTGCCTTTGTGCGCAGGTAGTAGAGGCCCGTCTTCAATCCCAGCTGCCAGCCATGGAAATGCATGGAGGACAGTTTGGCGGTGGTCACATCCGTCATGTGGATGTTCAGTGACTGCGACTGGTCGATGTAGGCGCCGCGGTCGCCGGCCATGTCCAGGACGACCTTCTGCCTGATCTCCCAAACCGTCTTGTACAACTCCTTGAGGTCCTGGGGCAGGTCCATCTTCTGCACGCTGCCGTTGTGCGCGACCAGCTGCACGCGGAGTTCCTCGTTCCACAAGCCCCGCAGGATGAGATCCTTAAGCAGGTGCCGGTTCACCTGCACGAACTCTCCTGAGAGCACTCGGCGCACGTAGAGGTTCTGAGTGTAGGGCTCGAAGGACTCGTTGTTGCCAAGGATCTGGGCTGTGCTGGCCGTCGGCATGGGTGCCACGAGCAGGGAGTTCCGCAGCCCGAAACGGGTGATGCGTGTCTTCAGGCCGGCCCAGTCCCAGCGTCCGCTGCGTGGCTGCCGGTCCCAGAGATCGTACTGCAGGAGACCTTTGCTCGCAGGGCTGCCTGCATAGGTCTCATATGGGCCGCAGGTCTCTGCAAGTTCACAGGAGGCCTCACAGGCCGCAAAGTAGATTGTTTCGAAGATGTCCTCGTTCAGGCGCCTTGCCTCCTCGCCCTCGAAGGGCAGCTTCATGATCAGGAAGGCGTCTGCCAGGCCCTGCACTCCCAAGCCCACGGGCCTATGGCGGAGATTGGACTTGCGAGCCTCTGGTACCGGGTAGTAGTTCCGGTCGATGACTTTATTCAGGTTCCGCGTCACCACCTTGGTCACCTCATAAAGCTGCTGGAAGTCATATGTGCCCTCGGCGCTGGCAAAGGCTGGCAAGGAGATGGAGGCAAGGTTGCACACTGCCACCTCATCCTTCGAGGTGTACTCAATGATCTCTGTACACAAGTTGGAGCAGTGGATCGTGCCGAGGTTCTGCTGGTTGGACTTGCGGTTCGCATGGTCCTTGTACAGCATGTAAGGCGTCCCGGTCTCCATCTGAGACTCGAGGATTCGGAACCAGAGCTGCTGCGCCTTCACCGTCTTGCGGCCCTTGCCTTGGGTTTCAAGCCGAGCATACAGCTCGTCGAACTCGTCGCCCCACACATCCATCAGCCCCTTGCCCGTGTCCTCATCGTAGGCCTCGTTCGGGCAGAACAGCGTCCAGTCTTGATTGTCCTTCACCCGCTGCATGAAGAGATCGGGGATCCAGAGCCCGTAGAAGAGATCTCGGGCACGCTGCTCCTCCTTGCCGTGGTTCTTCCGAAGCTCCAGGAAGTCGAAGACATCCGCATGCCAGGGCTCCAGGTACATCGCAAAAGATCCCTTCCTCTTGCCCCCGCCCTGGTCCACATATCGAGCCGTCTCCTGTGTGCATTTTCGACATGCAAAGAACTGAGTTGACCTTCCGCCCAGCTAGAAAGCTTCAACTCAATGCGACTACAGCCAACACTCTTGGCTTGACTTCAGAACCAAGTCTCGTTGAAGTTGCGGAGCATGGGCACAAGGCCGTTGCTGTGGCCGTTGGTGCCTCTGATGTAGGAGCCGCTGGCGCGCACATTTGAGATAGCCACGCCGATCCCACCTGCTGACTTGGAGATGGAAGCACACTGCTTCAGCGTGTCGTAGATGCCTTCGATGCTGTCGTCTTGCATCTTCAGCAGGAAACACGAGGACATCTGCGGCTGGGGCGTTCCGGCATTGAAGAGGGTCGGGGTCGCGTGTGTGAAGAACTTCCGGGACATCAGGTCGTACCTTCGCGCAGGCGTGCGCAGGCTCATACCAAAGAACCAAAAACGCTCCTTGCATTTTTCGAACCTTTTTGCCGGGTTGCGTCTCCAGTGCAGCACGGATGTCCCCCGTGTGGATACCGCAGGCTGCCCGCATGATCATGTGCTGCGGCCTCTCCACGATCTTTCCATGAACGCGCAGGAGGTAGGACTTCTCCAGAGTTTTGAATCCAAAGTAGTCGTAGCCCAGATCTCTCTTGTAATCGATGGCCTGGTCGAGGGCCTCCGCGTTGGCCTGGACGAACTCCCAAACATCCTCAGCCAAGAGAGCCGCGGGCCTGCCCTGCTTGTCCACATAGTTGTGCAGGACCTTGCACGTCTCGTAGAACGAGTCCGAGGTGTTCTTGTGCAGGTTTGATACCGCGATCCGCGCTGCCAGGGTAGAGAAGTCCGGGTGCTTCTGCGACATGTACGCGCACGTCTCGGCCGCCAGGGTGTCCACCTCCGACGTGGAGATGCCGTTGTAGAAGCCCTCGACCACCTTCTGTGTCACGGGCACGGGGTCAACGAAACGGGGATCCAAACCTTCGCAAAGAGTCTTGATGCGTCGGGTGATAGCATCAAACTTCACCTCCTGGCTCTGGCCGTCCCGCTTCACCACGTACATGGGCGCCATCGGCACAGGGAATTTAGCGGTGTAGGATGTCGAGGCAACCAATGCTTCCCCAAGCGAGCCAGCTGAAATGCTTGGCACCAGGACAACAAAGCAACATCAAGGCGCGCAGCTGTTCAGCGGATTTGTAATTAACATTAGTCAACTCAGACACAGGCACTTGTGGGCAAAGCGTGGTGCAAAGGAAAGCATCTGAGGCAGTCCGAGGCAATGACAGGTCGCAATCGCAACATCACGAACGACCTGGAGCCACCACAGCATGGCACAGGAAACTCCGAATGGAAGCATTAGTTAGGCCTGTGATTTTGTGTTGCAAGGTGATGTGGCAATAGAAGTCCATCCCTCTCAAGTCTCAATGGGGGTGAGGGATCGAGCAGAATGCCTCACAGAGTGCCAGCTTTTACTGACTAGCTGGTATCCAGCTGTGCCGCTCTATGAGACTTGGGGCGCGGTTTCAGAGCAGAAAAAGGATAGTGCTACACATAGTGTTATATGAAGTGGGGTATATATTTCTGATATGAATTTATGAAGCATTCCTTCTTACATCTTCTCTGCCTCTCTGAGCCTCCAAGGCTCTGGCTGCGAGCGTGGCCAAGGCGAGACCACAGAGCTCCTTTCACAGCCCGGGCAACATCGTCACACGGTCATCACCATGTCATCAGCACTATCAGCACTATCTTTCACTCACGTCTGAGGCAATGAGCAACAAACTAGGGCGATTAGGCGCTCCGGGTTGTGGCCGGGTAAGAAGGTACTGGCCTGGAAGCTGACCAAGGTCACGAAGGCGATGACAAGACGATGGAGCACGAGCCAATGTGACGGCCTGGACTGCTCTTAGGTTGAAACTGTTCCAACCTGTTAACCCCTTCAAAGGTTTCATGCTGGTTCAGCTGCAACTCCTAGCTTCCATGTGCTCTCTCCTGGCAGCTTCTCTGTCACAGTGAGGAGGCACTAGGCTTCCCGGCACCTCCATGGTAGTGTAGGTGCAGCAATGCAGCAGTTACGGTTGGCTGTCTCTCGGCGCTTTGTGAGTCGATTGTTGGCGCCCTTCTCGTGGCGGGGCATTCTGGCATCTGCTGCTTGTTGTTGCTTCTAGCCCCAGTAAATGCAATGCCCAATGTGCTCTGAGCGCGCACGAAGTAACATCCTCCCTTGAGCTGTGGACACCGCGGCGGTTTCGAGTCCAAGCGCCGCCCTCGCAGTGCTCTTGAGCATTCCGTAGACGCTGAATGTGGGTTTCCGCTTCTCACACTGTCAACTCAGCAATGGCAGCCTTTTTTTCCTTAGCCCAGCATCTTCGAAAAGAGAGCCTTCTCTTTCCTCCTTGCGATTTGGAGACCCTGTGCTGCAGCTGATTTCAGGCCGACGGCCTCTGCGTTCTTGGGTTCCTGCCTCAGCACCTCCTCGGCGGCCGCTAAGGCCTGGGAGTGCTCCCCCAATGCCAGGAAGGCCTGGCTGCGGCGGAAGTGCGACTTCACCTGAGATGGCGGAGGCCAGGGGCAGTGCGCGCGTGTCCGTTCCCTAAACCCTAAAGCAAACACCCTTTTTGCAACTTCGCTTGCGGACTCGCCCCTAAACCCTAAACCCTAAACCAACCCTAAACCCTAAACACTAAACACTAAACCCTAAACCCTAACCCTAAACCCTGCTCCAAGTGCATCTTCGACACGTGAGCCGCATCGAAGCGCAAGGCTTTCTCGGTATAGTGCAAAGCTTGATGGGGGTCCTCGAGCTTCAAAGAGACAGCCCCGAGGTTGCTGAAGAGCGTCACCGCCAGCGACATGTCCTTCGCTCCAAAAGCTGACCCAGCCATTCAGCTGAATATGTGATACAACACTACAATATTCTCATGATGCAAAAATGATGCAAACATTTAGCAGAATAATCTAACAATATAAACACATATGATAATGTGGTAACATGAGAGAATAGGATAATGTTACAACAGAGTCGCCGGTCAGTCCTTGTCCAATTGCTCAGCTCCACCGTGGTCCAGACCAGGTACTGGCTGCATTTCACGGCCATGAGGTACATACTCCTAAGCTCCGCGTGAAGTGCCCCAGTCGTGTTTGGATTTCGGCCAGGAGCTAGAGCTGTGGCCAGGGTGCCAAGTATCGAAGGCCTTCTTGATATGCCAGCATGGCATACTCCCAATCTGAGGCCTGGCTGTGACGAAATCATGAGCCCTGCCCCCCCCCCCCCCCCAACATATGGCCGGAGGGCCTTGAAACCTCGGTTCCCGATTTCCTTGCAGCGGCAAGCAAACGCCCACCGTTCCGAGGGGGTCATGTCCTCAGGCTCCTTTTCATGGTCACACAGGCAGTGGTTGCCTTTTTTCGGATACCCTTAAGTTCGGGCTTCATATCAGAATGACCCCAAACAAAGGACCAGTATTTTTTGAACCCCCCCCACCCCACCCCACCCAAGACAAATGGCCAACCGTTGTCAGGCTGAGCCCTGGTGCAAGGAAGCAGTCCTTCGGAGGCAGCTCGCCGGTCCTGAGTGTTGTGGGCACTGGACTCTGAACCTTAAGCCTTAATGACGACGACTTTAAAGCTCCAAAGATTTCCAGCACCCCGCAATATGCTACGACAGGCCCTCAGCAGCCCTCTCGGACCCAACATCAAGAAGGCTGCCCTCCCGAAGCTGGAGGCAAGTCAGCCATGGCTTGCGGGGGAGAGCTTGATGGATCTGCTGGGTATGGGGGCTGCAAGGAGGGGGTTAGGTTGAAAAGTGGCGGCCTTCGAAGCCTGAGATCTGAAGTGAGTGTTCGTGTGGCTCATGCTGGAGCCATGCAGAAGCCGAATGAGCGATCGCTTGCCACCTGGCTGATTGAAAGATACTGTACACGATGCACATGAAGGCACTGGGCGTTTATCATACAGCGCCATTCGACTTAAGATCTACCCGCCATGCTCAATCCTGAGTGCTCCTTCTGGCCTTTGACATAGTCATAATCGTTCTCAACACGTTCCTCCTCCTCCTCCTCCTTCATCGGCGTATGTGATACTACTTGCAGCCTCACCAGGACCTGCCGCAGGCTCACAAAGGGTGAGGTGGCATTGTGCCTACACCTGGGATATACCTGACCTTCTGACCATGGCATCTTCTCAATGCGGACGTGCTCATGGCGGGAATTGACATGAATTGCCCATCTTGGCTGTGACCTTCCCACAACCTGGCATGGCAAGTTCAAGTTCCTTCTGTGCTCCCTGACTGCCCGCATCCGCAGGCCAGGCCAGTAGTGCCAAGGCCCCGGAATCCCGAAGTGATCATCCATTGGAGTGCCGTGCGGACGTTTTCTGATCCAGCGCGTCTCTGAGTCTATGAGTCTGTCTGTATGCTTCTGCGACTGCAGAAACCCGCACTCACAGGTGCCTACGCAATGATTCAACCTTGGCCGTGTGGTACCCACGACGGTGCAAGAGTTGCGCCTACGCAAAGAACTTGGGGACTCTGCTTAGAATCCAAGAGCGACTCGAGAGCACACAGCGGACCCATACCGTGCAACACAGTGTGCAAAGAGCCAAAACAGTATTCTAAATTCCAAGTGGAGCAGGATGTGACATGTGTTCTCAAGACATCTCCAGACTCACGAATGTTGGCTGCCAGACACATTCGGCTTGCCACCTATCTCCACAGAAGTGATTAACGCAGCTTGAGCGCCAGCTCTGCTGTCCCAAGCTGCAGCATTGCTGCAGATAAGAATACTACGTTGCTCTACATGTTGCTACTGAACATCCAGTTCCTATATAAAGCTGTGCTGACTCCGTCAGCAGCAGAGGAACTCGAAAAGCAAAGATGCGCGCAAACGGGACGGGACGGGAATTCTGGGAATGTGTCACGGGCTGTGACACTGTGTAATATACATCTGCACCAGCAGCCTAATTGGTAGAATTCTCGCGGTGCACCACCACCGCGGGCACTGGCAGCTTGGTCACTGCCCGCCCTCATTGTTCACTGTCCCCGAGCTTAAGCAACTCGCCCAAACTGGGCAGAACCCAGTCGGGCAAGCACTCGTTCCGGTGCTCCTTCAAGAAGGCTGTTTGAGGCTATGACATGGATACGCATGGGCGGGCTCTGCTCCCGGCTCAGTTCAAGCTGCCAGAAGATGACATGACGCTGCTTGTGGACCTGACCCGGCTTCCCACGCAACATGTCCCAGTCCTTGGTGAGGTTGAGCTGAGCGGAGAGGTTGTCCTGGGCGAAGGATTGAAGTTAAGTTGCTTAGGCTAACGGGGACACGCGTTCAGCGTGGTACCATTAGGGGTTCAACATGGTTCCTCATACTGTGGATCTAGGTCCAAGGGTGTCAAGAAGAACTCTTGAAGCCGTACCGGGTACCGCTTATACAACCCTTGCACCTCCAGAATATAAGAAAGAAAAGTGCTGTAACACACTGTTGGCTGCTAGCGGCAGCGGGCTGGCAACAATTTTGGCTTCGTATACGGCAGAAGCCCACACCACACTAACAGAGCCACATGACAGTCACTGAAGACAGCAGACGGACGGGCTTCGGGCTTCGCAGAAGGTCCCGCTTGCAAAGCAAACTCCCCGTTTAAGGCGTTGTGCCAAGAAAGCCCACTGGAGCAGAAAGAAGGAGAAAACACGTGGTCACGCCCCCTCACTCACCAGAACCCAGCTTGTCACCAGACTTGTTTCTTTTGGAATGCCAAGGCCCACAAGGGCAGGCCCAACCGGAACAGGGTTCGCAGGACTTAAGATACGTATTCCCCCCCCCCCCCCCCGGTTCTCGCAGCATGAAGCCACACTGAGATGCCCACGAAGATCGAGAGCCACTATCTGAAAGAACAAGAAACCGTGTCTAGAATCACTTCATCAGTCGAGCAGCCAGGACCAGCAACGAGGATGCACCGCTCCTGTATGCAAGCCTGACCAACAGTGCATCATGCATCCAAACGCATGTGCCACAAGGTTGGAGGGCAGCAGACATGCGCTAAGCAGCCGGATGTGGGCCATCTGTAGGGGAAGCACTTGCTAGATCGGCTAGAGTCCGCAAGGACTAGATAAAATGAATGCTGGCAAATTCAGAGGCTGTGTAGCCGTAATGCCTCGAATCAGAACCCTAAATGCCACGCTACTTTTCACCCAGATGGCCTTGTTGCTTTCTCAGGGCTCCTCGGGGGAGGTTTCCGCAGCACAGAGTCATGCAGTCAGAGCTTGCAATCTCACTTTCGAGAACTTGCACAAAAAACCGGGTCCTCCCTATCAGCAAAGTCTTTGATGGCTCCACAGCAAACTGCTCGAACATGGCCGCGCACCTTGGCTGGGCTCCCTTAGGCACCGGTCAACTCCAAGAGTCCACAGCAACACTCCATGCAGGCCCCGCCACAGCAGCCTCGATGGCCAAAGCATGTCCACAAACTCCTGGCAAGTGCAGCTGGCGCCAGCTTTTGCGGGACGAGCCGAGATGTCCAGCCAAAGGCCGACATCCCCCACGAAGGCCCTCTCCGGCCTGGCTGTCGCCCGACCCTGCCAGAATCTTTTGGCATGTGACGGAGCTCCTGCCGGCAATGAAACAAAGGGCTCGGGAACAATCCCGAAACTTCCAAAGGACTCCGAATGCGCTCACCAACTACGGCCTACTACGGCCCCAAACCGGACGTGCTGAAAACACTGAGCATGTCCCACTTCCCCATGGTGGCCCATGTGTAGGCTCAGCGTTAACCGAACCATGCCTTTGCCCCCAAGTTGCGATGTGTAATGAACATTATATACATATTTACATATACATATACATATAGATGATTATGGAATGTGAAGAGATGCATCCTTCAGCCCTTCATGCCCCAAACCCTGCGCTGCTCTTGTTCAGAGGCCTGGCTGTCTTCAGCTTGCGACGTGCCTGGAGCCCGGCAACTGCCACCTCCCAGTCCGGCAATATGGGGGCGGTTTCCGAAAATAGGGGCCCTTTTGGGGGGTCCGTTTCGGGCGACTCCAATCTATTGGGGGCTCGGAATAGGCTTGCAATGGAGGATGTAGGGGAGATGAGGCCAAACCCCCCCAACCCACACATAGAATGAGCACAGGGTCTGTCGGACCCCCCCGGCCCACCCCGATGAATGGGCTGTCGCTTGCCCAGAGGTGTTTAGGAGTTTCGGTTTAAGGTGGGTTGGGCTCTGGGAATGGTGCAAGTTTTTGCTCAGGCTTCCGCCAAGCGGGGGTTCGCGTCGTCTGTCCCCAAGACAGTGGAGACTGCAGCTGCTGCAAGAGGTGGTAGATCCTGGATGAATGGATGCATGGGCACGGTTGTGTATTTTGGAAAGTACAGTCGGCGGACACAGCGCGTTTGCAGCGCAGCTGCTTTCACCGACGCATCGGCCTGAGATGACTCGGAACGATTTCCGACCCCGAGGCGCCACCGCAGTCCCGCAAGGTCAGTCCTCTGTGAGCGGGCCAAGTACCTGAGAGCGGTGCTATGAGGGGTGCCCGAACTCCTTAAGTCCTTAAGGCACCTTCACAGCGTTGAATGCTGCGGCTGGGCCCTGCAGTTGTTGACAGTCGCACATGCCTGTCTCCAAGCAGGCTAGAGGCATATGGAGGCACCATTACGGGGGCCATGTGCGACTACTTGTGGGGCCCAGGTGCAACGCAGTCGGCGCTGCGGACAGCAGCGAAAGCAGCGGCAACTTCCTCTTCACCTTGACGACTTGCAGTGTTGCAGCTGCGGTGTCATGTTGTGTGCATCATCTTCCCCAGCCCTCACCCCTCGAAACCACCCGAATTGCACGCAAACTCTGAAGAGTCAGACTGTCGATATCCAAAAGGCTGGGAATGTGGGTGGCTCCAGGCCGGAATTCTGGACGCAGCTGACCATCCTGCGACTCTTCTTGACCAAGCTGAGCCACTCTAGACATGTTCGCGGCCCGCGAATTGCAGACGTTTCTACCCCATCCTCCCCCAGCAAGGAGAGGCTGTCCGCAAACCCTGCTTCCCTGACCTGGCAGCTTGTGGGGTTCACACATGCCTCATTGCAGGTGCGAGCCGAGTCAGGATCCCTCTTCTCTCTCGGTCTGCTTCAACCCCTGGCCGCCCAGGGGCGCATACTGGCCCACTTTTTGCAGTCCGCCCTTTCGATGGGTTTCCTGCTGGGAGTTGAATCCCGGACACGAAGTTGAAGCTGTTGAGCCCCTCACGCGTTTGCTCTTTGGGACAACCCCTGGGACCCCGCACTGCGGGGTTCGCTGGGCGTCTTGGCACACTGGAAGTCTTTTATAGTGTGGACCAGTGGATGTTGAGACGATTCTTGTGGTTGTCGTGTACATTCG